ATATATGATTATCTTTTAACCACATTTTATATAAAATTTTTAATCCATCAGTAATTGCAAAAGTGTATAGGAAATCAAAACAATGCTTGATAATCAGCCTTTTCCAAGTAGACCTTTGCAAAATTGTAAAAGGAGTCACCAATGTTTGGCAATTTTCACACACATAACTTCAAATTATGTGTTCAAGTATTTCCCCATATGCATGGTAAGTAGTACTCAAGTTATAAATTGTATCATTAATTTGAGATTGTTTTACCATATTTTATTTTCATTCATAATTTAAAAAAATTTAATCTTCTTCATTTATAATTTTTTTAATTTGTTCGAAATTTGATCCAATCTATTGTTGTTAGAACATATAGAAATTTGTCACGTATACATCCACCAAAAATTCCATGTAACACAATCCTATCCAAATTCTAATAGCATATTGTTGAATGAAAGCATATGTACAAAAGCATGAGACTATAAGCTTGTAAATATATAGAAAAAGATCATATCATGCTTAAACTCCTCTAGTATATATGAATAATTTAAGTGATCATAATTTCTCGAGGGGACTAGGTAGGCAATATGTAGATGATGAACCTTTCTTTTATTTTGTAGTCTTTCCACATTGGAATATCTATTAGTTTAATATATACGAGATGGCATGAATATTCATGGGAGTTCAAAGAGAAAATAGCACCACAAACATCTTTTTAAAACCATTAATTAATTACTCAAAAAAGAGTAGTTGATTCCTTAACCATCAATGAATTAATTGATAGTTGAAACAAGCTTTTTTTTTAAAAAAAAATGTCTAATGTAGTTAAAAGGGTTACAATTGGCTATTAAACCCTAGCAAAATTGGTATTGGTAGTTTGAAAGGTGGTTGGAAAGTCACCCAAAATATTCTATTAATATTCAACTTCAAAAACCGAACCCCCAACCCCCAGGGGGCTCTTGTCATTTACTTACATAGAAAGCCAGATGAAAGAAATGGAATAGCAACAATCTTTCTACGTGCTTCTTCTGTATATAAAACCATCAGCAAAGTTAAAACTCCATGGTACACGACCTAGCATTGGGGACATTAAACAAAAGAATATATATATATATATAAAACTAAACCTTGACCAAGAGAAATGAGAAATGGGGAAGAGATCATGGAATGGAATGCAAGAGGAAAAAAACAAAGAGAAGGGGAAGGGGAAGACTAAGCTAGCCCTGGGGAAGAGAGAGAGCTTCCATGTCTGGAAAAGGCTGCAAGCAAAGGGAATTTGCTTTCCTTGTATGTAGAAAATGGTAAACGATGAAAAAGAAAAAGGGGGAGTAACCCCATATTAAAAATAGAAAAAGTTTTCAATGATAATTTTATCGTGTAGAGTGTTGGAAGCAACAAGTGTGGGAATCCTGGTGTCAGAACAATGGGGCTTCACCTTCTTTTTGGAGAGGTTTGCCTTTGTTTGTTTCTTCCTTTCCCCTCCCTATTCCCTGTTTGTTTCCCAAGTGCATGTCTCACGGTTAGATTCTACTCCAAATTCTCTCTCTCTCACTCTCTTCTTATATATATATATTCTTTTCTTTTCTTTTCTTTTCTTTTTCTTCTCCCTCTCTGCCTCGAACTGCACAAACTCAAAACAACCAAAATAAAACCACACTAATCTGTTTGTGAGAATTATGATGATGATGAGCCATTCTGGCAGACAGTCATGTGCTCTGCTTTTTCTCTTTCTTTCCTTTCTTTTTTTGAATGTTTTTCTTTTTTTATTTTTTATTTAACATATGAAAATTCTCTCTTCTTTCTCACCTGTCTAGTGTTTTACTCATTCTTCTTCTCCTTCTCCTCCTCCTCGAATTTAACCCAATCCAACACGCATGTTATTGCTCTTTGTACCCTCCCAATACGCATACGTTTGCTCCTCTTTTCACACAATATAAATATATATATTTATAGACTATATTATATTTTGCCCGCCGCTTCTGTATACAGACAGTTCTTTTCTCGTTTTTTCTCTATATATGAACCCTACTTTGACTACTTACTTACCTCTCTCTCTCTCTCTCTCTCTCTCTCATGTCATGTATATTATATGTCTATTTATACCCCTTGTATACATTCATTTTTATGTATTATGGTTTAAGTACTTTATCATATTACAATGATATGATTTATACATACTGACGCTTTGACCGGTCCATATATATATATATACAAGTCAAGTTCATGAATGAAGAATGTAGCAATTTATTGTTATTATTTTTTCTTTTGAAAATCATTAGTTAGCATTCATAAAAAGATAAGAAACGTAATTATTTTATATCATAAGAGGAACATCGAAAGAAGACCCCATCTTCAAATGAGTTGGTCGACACTCTTTCCCTATAAAGTCCAGAAATCCCTCCCTTGTTCCTCTACCTTTTCTATCATCAAAAACCCCCCCTCCCATGAATATGAACAGAAACAAGCCAAGAGTCCAAAATCAAAATTCATACATCTTTACATAACTCCAACAGGTTGTAAGCAATTTATTGTTATTATTGTGTGGTGCATTAAGAATTGAGAGATGATAATCTCGGATATATCATGTGATTATATCCAAAGCTTATATTTTCAAAGTTACTTCTCTTTCATTTGTCTATCATAATAAGTGTTTAAATTACGGTTGATTATTTTTTTTTTTGCAATTATATAATTAAAATTCTCTATTGTAAGATTTGCTTACTATATAATCTTGAAAACATAAAAGAAATTTAATTTTTTTCAAATAAAATCATTATACATATATACGTACACATATGTATATATATATATATATAAATTGAACAAATGAGATATAAAATTGGACATTATCTATCTTTAATTCATTGTCATAACTTTTTTTATTTATTATCATTAATTATATTTTTTAAAAAAATTCAAGTTATTTTATTTTATTATTAATATTAATTTAATGAAATAAAAGATACTTAAATTATTTTATTGGGATTACTTGTGTCAAGAAAATTCTAATAAAAAATACAAACAAATTTATTTAATTTTTTTTGTAATTTATCCATAATTATATAGGGGTACTTTTTTTTGTTCATTATTTTCAATATCTTTTGTAAAAGAGGAAATGGAAAACAAATCTTAAAAAACGTGAGGCCCAGCTGTGACTGGAACGAAGGGAGGCATCATGATCACAAGCTCAAAATTGTTGTCATTAGGCAGACATTGAAAGTACCTTAGCAAAGTTTTGTCTGTCTTTGTGCCTTTTTAGCTGTTTAATGTTAAAGCCTTTCAACTTGAAACTGATGGGCAATGGTGTCCTTGAAATTATATAGGGTCATTCAACATTCTTTCATGTCCCTGTCTTTCTTTCTTTCTTTCTTTACTCTTTTCCCCTTTTTAATTTTTTATTTATAACTATTCCTATGTTCTTTTTTTGCAATCAAAGTCATGACTCATTAGTCATTAGGATGAACTTGAGCACAATATTGGATAAGAGGGAGGGATTAGTTTAGGGAATAGGAATGAATATGACAGTCAATTCATATCAAAAGGGAGAAGAAAGTAGTTTTATTATTTTTTTTCTAAAAAAAAAATAAATTTGTATATTGATCAAAGGAAAGATTATATAAATATCAATTCTGAATCTATAATCGTACTTGGGATTAGTGATAAATTCAAGATTTTAATCAAAATCTGAAAAGGTATTGTATTATGGTATTTTCTTTAATTTAATTTTTTTATTTAAAATTGTACCATATTAACTTTTTAATTTTAAAAATTATTTTAATTTAATGCTTTTAACATTTTCTATTTAAATTAACTGTCGCAGCACTGATAAACAACTCTAACAAGTATGTGAAAGCCTTTACCACCACACCCAAACCCTTACCGATAGTTATAACATATTTGTGTTTTATTTATTCTTTTTTTCTCTTTATACAAAATTACGTCGTTTTTGAAATCTTTATTTTTGGAGAATAATGTTTTAAAGGGTTTTTATAGTTAAGGTTTTTGAAAGTGTAAAAATACTTCAAAACGATGTAATTTTGAAGAAAGAAAAGAAAATATTAAAAAAGAAGAGAAGAAAAGAAAAGAAAAAGATTATAATTATTAGTAAGGTTTTAAGTGTGATGAGAAAAGGCTTTGATATATTTACTTAAAGTCTTGGTTCGAACCTTAGCAAAAACACATCTTATTTTTAACCACTTTCGATCTTCTCTACCATTACAATTTTCATTCCCCAAAACCCAGTGAGAACTCGTGACAAGAATTCTTTTTCTCTTATAAAAAATGGTAGTTATTTGCTTTTGATGGTTGAATCTTGAGTTCATATTTGATATATATACATATATATATATATATACACTGAAACTACACCTAGTAGCATGGTAGTCCATCAAGAACTCGATTGGATATAAGTAATATGGGCTAGCACCAGGCTGATTCCGTTTTGTATTAACCCATCAGTCTCCACAAAATTGTGGTGTTTTAGGGCTCAAGCCTTCCATGACATTGCTGGATGCCAGTCATTGCAAAACCCCAAATTTACTAGTCCATATCTGACTAAACTTGGTATAATAATAGTAAGGGAGAAGTTAAAGAAAAAGTGGGTCTGCCTCTTTGTCATTATTTTTGTATTCTTTACTCTTTAATTATTATTTATAAATATAATTTTCATAATTAATGATTAAATCTAATATATTTGAATGATGATTAAAAGGAATAGAACAGTTAAGGAAATACTGTGGAATGTTTTCAGATATTGTTTGATCGCATTGCAATCGGAATGGTATTGGTTCTCGTTGAGCAAAGAGAGGGGTGTTATGTCTCTTCCTTTGCAGTCTTGTTACATTATTGTTTTTACCTAGTAGTTTTTGTAAATCTGTTTATTACTGAAGCCCTATATGCTTTTCAAAAAATAAAAAATATAACAGTTTGTGATGGTTATCAAGTAGAAAGTAGAAACTGCACCAAGATTCAGATTACACATGATTTCAGTCATCGAATCATTGTGTGGTGAACAATAACTTAAGCTCTGCATTTATCAAAAATTAGAACTTCCTAAAAGAGACTCTTGTTTTCATATGCACTGAGAAATATCATATTGGAAGCTTAGCTTCTTTAACTCTCATCAGATGAAAAAGAGAAGAAGGGAATATGCAGTTGTTACAATCTCCTTCACTTTGTGACTTGGAGAATAAGCAAAAAAAACAAAAAAAAAAAGTATTTGAAAAAGGATGAATTACAGAAGAATGCAAACAATATTAGTTGAATCCTGGATGAAGATTCATGACAAGATTAATCCACACTTGACAATCTGATCTAATGAACTTGCCAGATTAGTCATGCTAGGTCGCTCACTTGGATTTTCCCTTAAAGAAAGCTCAGCCAAATCAGCAAGTTTAAGCAAGGGTTCTACATTTCTTGGTAGAGGCACATTGCGATCGATAGTAGCAGCTGCCTTGCCTTGCCTAATCAGAGGCAATGCCCACTCAACAATTCCTGGAGGTGTGAAGTCTCTGTCATAAGCTCTCCTCCCACTTAATATCTCTAGCAGAACAATGCCAAAATTATAAACATCATTGGCCATATCTCCACTTAAATCCTTCTCTGTAGCACTTAAGATACCGAAATCTGCTATCCTTGCCCCCCATTCAGAGTCCAAAAGAATTTTCGAAGTCTTCACATCTCGATGAACAATGGGTGGAGGACTTCATTATGAAGGTACTCAAGTCCTCTTGCAGCCTGCAATGCAATCTTCAACTTCAGGTCCCAACCTAAAGGCGACAGTTCCCCATGAAGATGGTCATGAAGTGTGCCATGAGGCATATATTCATAAACCAGTAATCTTTCTCCCATTTCAGCACAATAACCCAATAAGTTCACGTATTGCTATGCTTTACATTGCATAGTATTTCTAACTCTGCTTCAAAATCCCGGCTGTTTGTATGAATTATTGTAGCAGCATTAGCTCGCTTGATTGCTACTTGCCTACTGTCAGGAAGAACAGCTTTGTACACAAAACCAAAGCTCCCTCGACCAAGCTCACTGAATTCTTTAAATCCATGAGTAGCATCTTTCAGTTCTGAAAGCCGATACACTTGGGTCTCTCCAATATATGTAGTTACAGATAGAGGCGGTAGCGGATTTGGATCAGGATCAGCCTCCACAACTGGTTTGCCTATGCAAAAACTGCACTGAATTATACCTTTTCCTTCACCTTTGGTATTAATGATTCGTGGAAAAACACAAGAAGCAACTAAAATCAATAAGCAACCAGATACAGAAGATCCAATGATGATAACCACCTTTTTTATCTCTAGCTGCTCCTGTAGCTGAGTGCCAGGTGAAGAAGGAACTCCACATACATCCCAACAAGAGCTGTTCTGGCAAAGTGAGCAAGGAGTGCATATTCTATCTACATTGGCACTGCACATACTTGAAGGGAAGTAGCCCTGTGAACAATTTGTCCCGCAAGGCAAGCACATCTTCAACTCATTTTGAGCACACAAACTTGTCAGCTCTGCCTCATTAAGGACGCTTGCATTGAAAGCAAACTTTCCACTAGCACATGACCCTGGAGAACATACACCAGGGCTACATAGCTGCAAAGGTGGACTATAATCTGGCAAAGAATGCTCATTCACTCCCCAACAATCAAGAACCAAATCAACTTCTCGAACCCCACAAGTTGTAAAATCAGATGAAGCAATAGCCGTAAAACCAGAAACCTTTGGAACTGAAGAAGCATTAATGTTGTTTCCCCAGCATTCCACTCCATGATCATCTACTTGAATGCCGCAAAAATGTTGTGCACCAGCGGGCACGGGCCTTTGGGGCGGCGGGGATTTTTAGACCCACCCCTTCCCCTTCTGCCACTAAAAACAAACTTTTTCTAAAAAAAACCCCCCAAAAAAAACAAAAAAAAAAAGCCCCCCCCGGCTGATTTTTTTTTCCCCCCCCCCCCCCCCCCCCCCCCCCCCCCCCCCCCCCCCACCCCCCCCCCCCCCCCCCCCCCCCCCCCCACCCCCCCGGTGGGGTTTGGGGGGAGCCCAAACTCACTAGAATCACCCCAACATTCAACTTCACCAGACATCTTCGAAATCCCACAAACTGAACTTTTCCCAGAAGCTAAAACCTCAAACTCACCAGACACATTAAAAGTTCCCAAGTTACCAGATTTCGGACCCCAACAAAAGACCACCCCACTGTCCTTAACAACCCCACAACTAAAACCATCCCCAGAAACAATATTCTTAACAACAATATTGCTAACATAATGATCACTAACAAAACCCATGGTAACATTGTTTTCATCAAGTGTTTGATGAAATTCCCAACAATCAACATAACCAAAATCATTACTACTTGACAAATAAGAACCTTTAATAGCACAAACATGAGTTTTCCCTGCAGCTATTTGTAAGTAAGAGTTATATCTATACGCTTTAGGAACAAGATTTATACCAAAATTCAAGGGATCCCAACAAAATGCTTGTGAATTATTGGAGGAAATGCCGCAAAGAAAGCCTTCACCACCAGAGAGAGAAGCCATGGGGGGAACCAAACTGAATGTGGGAACTGAAGAAGTTTTGTTGGATTTGTCCCAACAAATGATCTCTTGTTTCCCCCCAGCATCAATGGCACAAAAAAAGCCATTTTCTCCAAAAGCCGCGGCGATGGGGCCTAATGATCCATAGCTTGAAGCTGTTATGAACAGCAAGGGAAAAAGAAAAATGAGGAGGGAAGAGATAGGTGTTAGAAAGTAGCATTTTTGGGGTGGCATGTGTTTTGGTTTTTGGGTTCTTTTGTAAGTGAAGTTTTGTGGTGAAGTGAGGAGTTTGATGGTGGAGTTGAAATTGTGAGGAATGGGAACGGTTTGAGGCCATCTTTATTTACTGGTTTTTTTTTGGAAAGTGAGTGAGATTCAGATTTCAGACAGTTAGTTATAAGTCAAAACTTGGAAGAGTTGGACTTATGGGAAGTAGTTAATTCAATGTTTAACTGAAATTTAAAATTCATTGGGCCAGCTGTCCAACTGGTAACTGGTTTAACATTTTCTTTTCTTTTCGTTTCCTTTCTTTTCTTTTCTAGTCTATAGTTTCTCTGATTTGTTAATGATATCTAAGCATCAGAATCGTGATATGTAAGTTCATCCAAGTTTACAGAAGCTTGCATCATTTGCTTTAACTATATAATTTGCTAAATGATTCATCAAATTTTCATCTTTCAGCTTGATGTAATGAAGTTTCTCTAAACCAGATTCTGAAATGGCATCCTCAAGAATCTCAACCTAAAATCATTACTGCAAAAAGCTACTCTCCTAATTGAATTGCAGATTGTGTACCCTAATGACTTTTTGTTTGACTTACTTCTTGTGTATCTTGAAATACACAAAAGAGGTATCCTGCACATGAAAAACAAAGTGACACCATGATGTAAGTTTGATTGGAAATCAGAAGGGAGTTGAAGAAACCATACATGCACTCAACTGCAAATTCTTACAGTACAAGTCCATCAAAGTTCAATCCACAATGCTCCTCCTGGGGACATTTGGTAAAAACAAAGCAAGAATTTGGCATGGACCCTTTCCAGAAACATGAACCTGGAATGACCCAAAAGCTTAATTTTGCTCCTGTTGCTGTTAAAAATGGCAACCCTGGTAAGAAGTGCATGGAAAGATTTGCTTTAGCTATTTTTTGCTTTCCATGAGGTAATCCCGGTAAACTCTAGATTAATGGAAGTTAAACATATGGGAAGAGAATGACAGAAAGCTTGAACAGAGCAGGTTGTATGCATGGGAGATAACACCGGCTAACGTAGGCCCACTTGAGTGTGGTTTTTTGTCTCCATGTCTCCTCAGCCAAATTTTTTTTGCAGACTAAATAAATTGGAACACAATTATATCATCTTGGTAACCAGTATTGGTAGATTTTGTACTCCATCTACACCCAGACAAGAATCAATCATTGAAGAAATGTTATCAGAAGCAATTTGCTCCTAACCAAACAGCAAAAGGAATTAAGACATTACAAAGAGTTTCATAATTTGGTCAATAAGGAGAAACTAGTATACAGAAAATGAATTCAGAACATGGGGTGTTGTAAAGCTGCTTCCTAACTTCCTATTCCTTTACATGCCAATCCCATGGAAATGCTAGCATATAATCCAAGATTTTACATTAAAATGATAATTTCAATGGCTTTGTCAGAAGATAACTTCAGATCTTCCAAAGATTTGATAGTTCAAAGGGATCAGCTTTCTCTCTTTACAATGCCTGCTATTGAATTCATCAAAATTTTGCCCCATTATGTCTCAATTCCTCATGGAAAATGGCAATTTTGAACCTATTATTGTATTTACCTCTGTAAAATCATGACAAGAACATAACAAAGCAACTTAACCTGCTTTAATGGATACCTGAAGAATTAGTTGTAAGTTGAACAGAAAAAGAAAATGTTCTTCTTCTTCCTTACAAGTCAGGGTGATAGTAATATGATCCGTACCTGGTTGGAAAATATTTGTACAACAAGTTCAACTAACAGATTTGTAAATGCATCAAAGTGATTATGTCTGGTTAATTGTAAAAGTGCATCAAATTAATTATAGATTTAGTCAATGGAGACATAAGGCACATCATTTGGTGATTATTAATAAAGAAAGCTTATAAATATTGTTCTTTTGTGTATTTTTTATTGAATTAATAATCCTACGGTCCTTGCATGTGCATCTTCCTTGGACCCATAGTCACATGAGATTGAGCTTCATGCAGCTGTCATTGCTTGGAAATTAGTGATAATTAAATTGTAGGGTTGATTAATTAGTAGGAGATTGAAATATTATGTCTAAGTGATTTGAAGGGAAGAATGTTGAAGTTAAGCTATCTTTTCATTTCTATTGCTATAAAGCTACGGGACCTTGAGCTTATTCTCTCTCCAAAGTTAAATGAAAAATAATATTTTTTTTAAAAAAAATCTATGAATTATTCAAAAAAATTTAAATACATTTTTATTTTTTTATTTCGTTCAATCAAACTCTTATATTTTTATTTTGAATCAAATAAAATTTTTATCATTTATTATTATATGTCACATGACATTAATATATATAATATGTTGACATGTCACAATGGATAATGACGTGACTTGTTGATGTAAAATAATAACATGTTCATATGATATTTTTACCATCACATTAATGCCACTTAAATATAAAAATTACAAATGATATTTTGATTAATAACAATTAATCAATTTTAGTTATAAGGATTTATTTGTCTCAAAATAAAAATAGATATACTTAATTGAACCCAATAAAAAACTAAAAAATCATTATAATTTTTTTAAATAATTTAGAAATTTTCGTAATTATTATTATTATTATGCAATTCCAACACTCTAAATTAAATTGTATCATGGATTTGTTAAATTTGGAATTTATCCTAATTCTTAAATAAAATAAGATATTATTCTTCAATTATATGACTCAAACTCTACATTCAAATGTTAGAGATCTTTAAAATAGATTCAACATGAAACACTCAATTCTTATATTATTATTAATTCTTTTTACATTTTCTCTAAAATTTTTGTGTATGTATTCTAATCTAAATACATGAAAAAACATATAAAAAATAAAAAAACAACATATTCGAACATTTAATTTAATAATTAACGCTTATATCCTCCTAAAAACAATTCCAAATTCACCTTTTTTAAATAAAAAAATAAAAATAAAAGTACGAGTTACTTCATGGAGAAGAAGAGTAGTTCAAATCAAATCCTTTCAATCTCCAAAGTATATATATATAGTAAGCCAACCTTACCTTTACGAGTTTTACTTAATATTAAGCAAATAAGCAATCACTGTCAAAATGATCTTGGCAAACCCAACCATGCATGAACCAACTCTTCAAAAGCATGGAACCCTTTGCTTGCATTACTCGTTACCCTCCTAAGTCAAGATCCAAAGCAAACCCCGTAACAAACAAAGAAGAAGAATTTAGTAAAGAATAAGAAATAACAATGGAGCAACCCATCTTTCGTTTTCAACTCCTTCGTCTTAACGTTACCTAAAGTCCTCCAAACACATAAGAAAAGTAATGAACCATCCCTACAACCCATGATGCAGTCTCCATTCTCTTCACCAAATGGAGATCTCAACCTTCCTTTCCTTCTCCCTGCTTCTCTTCCTCTCGTTGCTCTCCCCTACCCAAGGTATGTTGCGTTTGAGGGAATTTTTAGGAGGAGAGAAAGTTGCTAAGTCGACCCTGAATTGTTATTATTGTTATTTTGCTTTCTTTCTTTTTTTTTTGTTTTTTTTCAGGTTTTGAGCCATCTCCGGCGCCAAGTTTTTCTTCCTCTTTGGCACCAGGATCAGCTTCTTCCCATCCTTTGGCGCCAGATTCTGGAGGGACTTTGGCGCCAGGTAGTGATCTTTCTCCGCAGTCACCAGCACTGTCATTACCTCCTTCTCTGGCGCCTGCGCCGATGACGGCGGAGAAGGTTCGAGAAGCGGATGTGGCTCCGGCGCCAGAGATGGAGGGAAGTGAGAGTTTTAAAGGGGCTGGTCCCAGTAGTCAGGAGGTGGAAGAGGCGGGAAAGCAGATGGTGAGGTGGTGCACTGTGAGAGAAGAGTACGAGGACTGTCAGCTGCTAGTCAGAGGATTGGACCAATCGAATGGATACACGTGGAAGTGGTAATTTTTGTTTTCTATTAGCAATTTTGGGCATTTACATGTTAATGATAGAAGCTAAAAGGTCGATTGAGGATTAAGATCATAGCTTAATTAACTTACAAAAGACTGCACTTAACATAAAGTAAATGGTAAATAAGCTGATAATTAATGCATTAGTTTAATCCAAAGATAGTTATCTAATTGGTATTAAGGTGCCTAATCATATATCATAATAAATTTAGCCGATTTTGAAGGTTAATACACTCATGCAGTTTAATCTAAGGATCATGTTGAACATTTCAAAGTACTAAAATTAGATTAATCTTGGTGGAAAGAGTTTATTTTTTATTTTCTGAATGCTCTTTTATCTGCTTTCTTTATAGTATTCAAAAGGAGACAGCTCAAGAGTGTTTGGAGTCAATCACAAGAGGGGAAGCAGATTTGATAAACTTGGAAGCAGGGGTGGCTTATACTGCATTCATAAACAACTCAATGAAAGCCATTGCAAATGAAGTTTACTGCGACCATGCTAGAAGCTATCAAGCTGTTGCTGTTGTCGATAGAAAAGCTTGCCAGGGAAACAAAGGAATCAGTTTAATGGACTTTGAGGGGCACAAATCTTGCCATGGAGGTTACTCCACAGCTGCTGGTTGGAACTATCCGATCAACCATATAAAAGAATCACTTGATTCTCAAAGGATGAATGACCGTGAAATCGCAACTGGTTTTTTCTCAAAGATTTGTGCTCCTTCAGAGTTTGAAGGAACAGGTATTTGCAGTGGATGTGGAAATGAAAATGGCTCCTGCCATTTGAGTAGCCCGTATTCCGGAGACCATGGAGCCTTCAGGTGTTTGGTGGAGGAACTTGGTGATATAGCATTCCTGAAAGCAGATACTGTTTTGCTATATTCTATGGAGGGGCCTCATAATCAGTCCTGGTCAAGCAAATCGGTTAGGGACTTCATGTAGGTATATGCTGCTTGGATTTTAACAATGTTTCATGTTCTCTTTCCCGTTAATTACTTAACTTGAAGATGTTTCTTCTTTCTTTCTGCAATTCAGGTATCTTTGTCCTGATGGGGGTTGCAGAGAAATCAATGATTACCCTGGTTCTTGCTCGTAAGTCTTTCAACATCAACTTAGTTTCCCTTCTCCATTTTCTGCACTTTCATTCTCAACAAGAATAATGATTCCAAATCAGTAAATGTTTGTGTTGATCAGATTTGGAGCTGTTCCTGCAAATGTGATAATGGCAAGCAATTCTCTCCCAAATAAAGAGAGACTGTTCATATTGCAAACATTGACCAATGCTGCCTCAGTGGAAGCTCTTCAAACAGCAAAATATGGTGCCAGTCCCCTGATAAGTCCAAGGTAACATATACTTAATACCCTAAGCAGGATTCTAGATTTCCTCCACAATTTCATCCTGTTTATGTTACAGAAACTTTCCACTGCAATCTAAAGAAACTTAAGCTCCTTTTGCAGTACACAAGAAATAGCTGCGGTCAAGAAGCTGACAAGGTCTTACCTTGGGATGTCAGCAACAATTTCACAAAGCATACTGCAGCTATACACCCCAAACAACCAAGCTGCTCCATCTTCTGTAAATCCAGTCTCAGGTAGACATTGTTCTTCCAAAAAACAGAAATCAAAATTTATGAGAGAGCTTTATCTGTTTTAAACAGGAATTCATGCTTGATTAATTAACTTTTGATGTTTATGTCTCCATAACAGATGTGGCCTCTCAATCATCTTCATGTGGTCACAATTCTCTAGTCATCGCACTCTTTTCAGTCCTGACAATGCTTTTGTTACTGGTCCGTACACCCATGTAGAGCAGAGAGGTCTTTTACATTAACTGTATTGAGAGACAGAATAGAAGTTTAGACAAGCAATTTGGGTTGTAACACATATATTTTCCAAAATGCCCAATTGATTTTGTATTTCACTCCATGCATGTTTATTATCTATAACTAGACTTAACCCCATAACCCCATACGATGAGTGGCTTAAACCTTAAACCTTAAACTTTAAACTCTAAACTTGAATTCCATAACTTTAAACATAAATTTATCTATTTAAATTAATTATCATATGAAATCAAATATCTTAATTAAAGAACCGAATTACATGATTGTTGGAGTAGACTAATGTTGAAATTTATCAATTTCTCTATTAATTTTTATATAAAATTAAGAGCCGGCCTTTTTTGTCATGGATCGAAACTTAAACCTAAACTTGTGCAGTTTTAAACTCTAAAAATAGAATTTAAATAAATCTATAAATCATGAATCCATTTTTCCAACTTAAAAGACATGCTTGATAAATGGTAGAAGATCTATGCTTATATTCTTAAAAATATGAGATTCGTGACATTCTAACTTATCTAATTGGGTTTTATTGATACGGGATTCGCATCAGTAAAGATCTGGATCTGTTCTGATACTACTTGTTACAGGTCAAAATTTAAACTTAACCTCGTATAGCTTTAAACTCTAAAAATAAAATTTAAGTAAACTTATAAATTACGAGATTATATTTCTAATCCAAAAAACATGCTTGATAAATAATCGAAATTTTTTGTTTATATACCCAATGTTCATCCCGTCTTTTACTGAATTGAAATTTGTGACACTCTGTCTGTAATTAATTACCTCTAATTCATACATCTTATCACAATATTAATAACATACAAAACTCTAATAAATATTTTCCCAACAATATATATATTTAATTAATTTAACGTACGGATTGTTTATAAGGAAAGGCAATAACTCCAAGATCCTACCTTCTTTTAATGGATCAAAGCTAAACATAGGAACATATTTTTGGAAAAGGAAAGAATTTAATCACTGGATTTACTACCCAAAACTTGATGAAGCCAGAAGGCCCACAACCTCCACATTAACTGTATAAATGTCATAGTCTGGGGTCACTCAAACTCATTACATTTTCTTAATTATCACTAGAAAATTCAGAGGAAAGAGCAAATTTGAGGAGAAAGATATAGATGGAGCTGATCAGGGGTCAGAGAATGGTGCCAATGGCTATTGTTTTGGCTTTGGTAATCATGACATTCATGGCTGCAGCACCAATCCCAGCAGATGCCGTTAAGATCGTGATAGAGTGTTCCCAGCCTGATTGTCAGAACAAATGCAGTGAAGCCTATGGGAGCAGGCTAATCAGATCTGCATGTGAGAAGGACCCGACAATTTTTGGGGGAACCATTTGTGTTTGCTACCACACCCCACCAGCTGCATCAGCATCGACATTACCTTGAAACTGACAAATGACAACTTATTGACATATTTACAGAAAAAAGAAAAATAAAAGCTTTCCTGCTCCTTGTTTACTTTGTTTCCTCCCCTCTTGTTTATTTGCTCCCTTTCAATTATTGCTATAGAATCCTCTCTTATACCCTTTCATCATCAAGACTGTTTAGACTAAGTTTTGAGTTGATAATTTAAATAATATATATTGATAATGTTCAAAATATTTGAGGTGTTCCAGCTAAAGGTCACATGAAATGGAACCTCTAAAAAGCCTAATTACACAGACCAAAAGTCATGAAATTCTGATTCAATATTACAGATGATTACATGGAGTTTTACAAAATGGGTATTCCCTCATCAAGGTGAGATTGATCTGGGGATGACGATGTTTCCAATGTTGTTGTGCCATGGATCAGCTAAGTGAGTTGCCAAGTTCTCCAGTGGTCCAGTGCCAGGGTAAGCTGATTGTTGAACACAGAATCCCACGAATGCCAACAATGCAAGGCGACCTATACAACAAATCAATCATAAATTTATCAAATTAGAAAACTTTCAAATGACTTGTGACACAAGAAGAATGGAAATGCCTAAGGAGAGTGTGAGGGTTTTTGTTTACCATTCTTGATCTCTTTGACCTTGTATTCCTCGAACTTCTTGGGGTCCTTGGAGTATCCCAAGGGATCAAAAGCACCACCAGGGTACTTCTTCTTCTCGGTGTCCTTCTCCATGCTGCGTTGGTGCTCAACGAAGGAGATGGCTAAGAATTCGATGACCAAGATGGTAGGGAGGGTACCCCATGGAACAGGGTTGCCCAAGTAAGTGGCCTGTCCACCAGGAATTGCAGCCCATTCTTGAGCCTTTACCCAGTTTCCATACCCCAAAGCCTCTGGTATCAACATACCAGGCTGCAAAGTTTACACTCATCAGAATTGCGCTAAATCTTCAAGAAAGCCAAGATGAGCATGCCTCTCTTTTATTATCATAGAGCTAGGTTACCTATTTTTCATGAATGCTTGCTCAAAAAATTAACAAAATGGCATATCATAGTGCAATTCTATACCATAAAAAATTCACATTTCAACTGTTGTGCATTAAAAACTGAAAGTATCAAACAGGAAAATTACAGATTTAAGAGTGAAAAATCAACTTACAACAGCAAGCATAGCCCATCTGCAGTGAATCAACTCAGACTCCTTGTACCTCTCAAGGTTCTCTGGGACCTCACCGAGCCTTAGTGGGTCAAATCCAAAGTCACTGAAAAACGCAAAACAAAGCTTTGTTCAACATATATCTAAAAGGTATAAAACAAACCCATTATTCAATTTAGTCACTTTGAAACCTTACCCTGGTGCTGAACCATCAAGGTAAGGTGGCCTAGGCTGACCAGGCATCCAGTCAGCTGACATGCTAACACGGTGGCTACCATTGGCACCAACACCGGGCAACTGCACGGCGGCGGCGAACTTGGACTTGGAGGAGGAGAGGACTGAAGGGAATGCGGTGGCTATGCCACAGCTCATGAGTGTGTTGGCAGCCATGGTCTTTGTTTTGGGAGAAAGTTTTGTTTGGGGGAGCTAACTAGAAGGAGAGAAAGTTCAGAATATGAAGGTTTAGAGAAAGAGTGGATAAAGGTCGCAGTAGGATTTCGAGGGAATCTAAAAGTGGATTGTCATTGGCTAAGGGATGGCACCCATTGTTGTGTCATTGGGCCACGTGGAATTTGTCAATCTTACTTGGGTGGATACATTGGGAAGGCTCTGGATATTGTGCTCTTGGCGTTTGTGTTCGAATGGTGGAGGTTTGAGTTGCCAGATAGAAAAAAATCAGGTGGGGTCAACTTCTTCTTTATGAAATGTTACTAGCATTTATATATATGACTATATTAGTAACCGAAAAATAATTTGCTTAGGAAAATTTTTTTTTATGCAAAACATTTTATAAAAAATTTTAATATTTTTTATTATTTAGATAAATTATCAAAAATATTTTTAATCGTTTAGATGTTTACATAGAAAATACTTTCCATCATCACTATTGAAGTTATTTGAATATTAATGATAAAAATCATGCGTTGTTTGCTTAATACACTTTATTTAAATGAAATTATTTAAGTGTTACTTAAAACTCTTTAAATACACTAATCTAACTGCAGCTAAAGTCTCAAAATGTTGTAACGATATAAGAACATTTTTTTTAGTTTTCGAAAAAAGTCTTATGCCTTTCAAAAGTATAAAATATTTTCCGAGATCAATGAGCATTTTTCCTTTTAACCCGTAAAATATTTTATATCCATAATAAATTTTTTATCTTCTAAATAAATATAAATCTTAAAAATAAAATTATTTTCCGTTAAAACGAACAAACTTTTATTTAAAAAATTAATTATTATGTTCTATATTTACATAATAATTATTCTATTTCAAAAATCATTCTATTCCGTGAATGTTAAGAGTTGAAAAAACGCTTATAAGAGCAAGCATTGGCCCATCCGCAAGGATAGGGGTGTGCATTGGTCGGTTCGGTCGGTTTTCGGTCGGTTTTGACGAAAAACCGACTAAAAATTTTTGGGATATAACCGACCGAACCGCCATAGTATAAAGTCGGTTTCGGTCGATTTTTTTGAATGTCGGTTTCGGTCGTTATATCGGGACTCGTGGGGGGAGGAAATTTCTAGACTTGAGTGGGGGGGCGGAATCGGGACTCTTGGGGGGGGGGGTCGAGGGAATCGGGACTCGTGGGAGGGGACCCCTGGGAGGGGGCCGAGGGGAATCAGGTCGGGGCCGGGGCAGTCTAGAGTTGAGACTAGGGGGAGGGGGCGCCGACGGGAGAATCAGGTGAGTCGGGAGAGATTGGAGGGGGATTTTGTTAGGTTGGCGGGTTGGGAGGGAGAATTAGCCAATTAGGGTCAGCACCGGAGTCGGGGCCTCGGGGGTTCGGGGGAAGTACTAGAGTGCTGTGCTGCTGCTGCCAGGGCAGCCGGGCGGAGGACCCATGGGTCACCTTGAGTAGTCGGTTTTTCGGTTGGTTCGGGGGGGAAGGATTTCCCCCCGACGACCGAACCGATCAGCCGACGAGGCCGATCGGCACAATCGACGGTTGCAGTCGGTTGGGCGATTCCAACCGACCGTTGCTCTCCCCTACGCAAGGAATCAACTCAGACTCCTTGTAGCTCTCAAGGTTCTATGGTACGCGAGGGGTGCATACCATATACATATATATATATATATATATATATATTGTCAATTATATGAGGATATTATTGGGTTGAAGGTTGGTTTTTTGTTGGAGGATTTTAACAGATATCTTAAAATCATGTATTTTGCATTACTCAATCGGATTAAATAAGATTTCAATACAAATTTAAAAAACGTAGTGATATTAGGATACTTATTATTTAAATCGATTATAAATAATAATTTTAAACATTAAAATTTAATTTATTTATATTACTTTTTGTTTATAAATTCTTTATAATTATTGTTATAGTTTTAAAAAAAAATCATTTATTGCTATTCATAGCCATAAACTAAGACATAGGTTAGTGGCTTATTAAGAACATAAAGAACCTTAAAGAGAAAGTACCCCATATTGTCCAAAAAATCTGGACTTGGGATGTTTAGATACATTCACTTATTCACAATAAATTCTAGCTAGCTAACATGTTGTCCAAATTGGGACAGTTAGTTAAGTCTCAACTTGCTAGAATTTCAATAAAAGAATCAAAACTTATTTGAAAAAATCTTAAAAAGTTCGAGAACTTTTTATAGTGTTATGTCTATTTTGATTTATGGTTGTTTAATCTAATGAATATATATATATACACACACACATTGTTTCTTATCATTCAATTCACTTTTTGGTTAATAACAGGGGCGACTCAATAACCTCAACAACTAAAAGTTAAATGTTCAAATGAGACTTTTTTTTAATGGAAAATAAAAAAAAATTAAATGAAAAAGAAAAATTCATGAGTGGATATTATAAATTGAAAAAAATAATTGATTTTATATATATATAAAATAATTATGGGAGATCGTTGAATACATATTATTTTTAGTTGATTGATAATATGAGAAATAATAGAGAATTATAAGTCACATAATTAAAGAAGTGATTAATTATCTTGACTTTTACATATTTTTAATGAAAAATGAAAAAGATAGTTAAGAATTAATAGAACGTGAAAAGTGAGAGAAAATAAAAACTTGTTAAGCATGAGAGGATATGTAAATATTTTATTAATTATTTTAATTTTATATATTTTTAATATAATTAATTATATTATTATAAAGTTATAAAACTTATAAAAATTCAAAGTCTAAAGAAAAGGTTAGCTTTATGCTATAGTCGACTCTGCTTAATAAATTTTTGAAATTTCTTTTGGTGGACAATTGTTTTTTCTCTTGTGCATACATTCTCTTTGCAAAAGGAATATATAAATCAAAAATTGCAACACCAAGGGTAACAGAGAATCATCAAAACCATCCAAACCCAAATTAAATAATATCTCAAATTCCCAAAATAAGAAATCTAAAAAAAAAAAATTCAAACCCATATAATTATAAAAATAAATGGCAAGAGGATTTAATCAAAATTGTCTAACTCTTGAAAAAATGAAGAAAATAAGATAAGTGAAGCCATCTGTCCATGTGATGGACACTTTTTGGAGATGGAGAAAAGGAAAAGAGATAGAGAAACTTTTAACTTCTGTTTTTATGTTGGTTATTTCTTTCATACAATTTTTTTTTTTAAAAGTATTGCCTTGATACGGTAATTAGGAAATAAATTTATGAGTACAAAATTTTGGGAAAACCTTATTTTCTTTTTCTCGAATAAATATTATCGACGATCATTAAATTTATATCTTTTTTTCATTTCTCTCACAGAATCTAATCACTAAATTTTTTAAAGTGTGTCAAATATGGTCATAATAAATGATTTCATCAAAATAAATAATAAAATAATAATGTAATAACCACTTAAGTAATCACATCATTTTAAAAATTATTTATATTAACCTTTGTAATCCATCTTTTTCTCACCATTTTTGTTTCTTAGTTTTGTTACAATGAGAAAATCTACAAAAATAATAATCAAAAATGAAATTGAGAATGATTAAAAAAAGTTTTCATAGATTTTTAAATAATATGATTATTTGAATGATTGCTATATCGTTATATCATTATTAATTTCAATAAAATCTATTAAAATAATAATATCGAGTATAATTTAAAAAAAATAATGACAAAATTGAGACTAATTGAAATTTGGTGGGTAAGATGAGGAAATAATATAAATTTAATGATCGCCTATGAAATTTAATCTCTTTCTCTCTTCCACTTGCATGTCCAAAGAGAAAATGCTATGCCGACCTTTCTTGAATTTTATTTTCCCTCGTTCAATCACATGGTTCATGCGTAAAACGTGGTTGACCGGCCAAAAAAGCAAAATCTTATCCACCATCTTCAAACTACAACAAGCAAGTCAGCAACCAAAGAATAATAATAATAATAATTTATTCTTCATCTTCAAAATTTTCCACATAATTAATCAAAGTAGGGGCAAGTTTTAGGTAGCTATAAAGTATAAATTAAGAATTTAAAACATAGCCCACGTTCTTATATTAAAAAATAATTTCTACGCTCAAACATAAAGCATACTACTCTAAATGAAAATAAAAATAATTTAACAATTGATCATGTTAAAAGTGTAAAAATAATTTTTAAAATAAAGTATAAAGATTTTTCAACTTTGATTATAATTATACGTAAGTATATTAATTTTTAAAATAAACATTTAGATAATGTTAATACCTAAATGTAAAATATCTTAAATATTTTTTTTTTCACTATTTTTTTTTTTTAAGGCTAATCGATGATGCTCTCTTACACTAGTTGGTCACGTCGCAAATGAATTTGGTCACAAAATACCAAATTCGATCAAATCTCCGTAAGGGAGTACGAGATCTAACCTTACACCATAGATCTGAAGCTCCCTTGGAGAGCACCATCATAATTGTGCTACTCAAGGGAGCACTATATCGATGTTCCTTAGGGGAGCCTACGATGCTCCTTAAGGGAGCACAAACAAGAGCACCAAATCTAATGCTTTTTTGATAAAAAATTAAAAATAAAAAGAGTTTATATAATAATAATTTTTAAAATTAATAAAAAATAAAATTATGTTAAAAATATTATCATGTCATCAAATTAATAGAAGTATTGACAGTTGAGTAATGACAAAAATTAAATATCAAACAAAAATATTCTTTTAGAGTGGAATATTCATTTTGAAAATTAATAAACTTACATTTAGTTGTCGTTAAAAATTGAGATGTTAGAGTATTTTACTCTAATTTTTATTTATTTTTAAAAAATGACATAATATTTTAAAAAAAATTCTTAAATTCGAAGTATTGACAGTTGAGTAGTGACAAAACTTATTTGTCCAACGAAAATATTTTTTTTAGAATAGAATATTCATTTTGAAAATTAATGAACTCATGTTTAATTATAGTTAAAAATTGAGATGTTAGCGTATTTTACTCTAATTTTTATTTATTTTTAAAAAATGACATAATATTTTAAAAAATTATTAACTTGTTTAAGAAAATTTAAATAAAATTTTAATTTTTACTACATTCAATCAAAGTTTTTTTTTATTTTCAATTACATAGATTTTTATAATTAATTGTTGCTTAACTGTTATTAATTAAAATATTATTTTTTATTTTATATTTAAGTGACATTAACATTACATTGAGATGATGGATGAAAAATATTATTTAATTCTTTTATGATACCATCATTACCTACCATAACGTATTAACTCATGTTGTATAAAATGACATGAAGTGTAATTACAGTTAATGACATTAAAAATTATAAAAATATATTTAACTAATTGATCTCCATGTTTTATATTTTTTTAATAAAAATATATTCTCAAAAATAATAAAAAAGGGTAAATATCCAACTCTTTTAAATTTTAGTTGAAATTTCAAACAAGTTTATTAGTTTCAAAATGGACACTCCACTTCAAAAATGTAAATACTATTAACAAATATTAAAAAAAATTAAAAAATTCTTTTTTATTAATTTAAAAAATTATTATTATATTTTTAAAAAATTAAAAAAAAAAAAAACATCGATCGGTTGGTGTTCCCCTTGAGGAGCACCAATGCTCCCTTAAGGAGTCCAATCGGGGATCCCCCCGTGCTCCCCATGGAAGTTTTTTTAATTAATAAAAAAATAAAAAAATAAAATTATATTATAGTAATTTTAAAAATTAATTAAAAATATTTTTTTTTTTAGGTTTGTCACGAAAATATTATCAATTGGACCAACATGTCTAATAAAATATTTTTTGAAGTAGAATATTTATTTTTAAAACTAATAAAATTTTATATAATTTTCATATAATCTCTATGAAAATTTAAAATAAGATCTTTTATCCAAAAAAAAAATAAATAATAAAATAATAATATTTACTTAACGGTCTCCTAGCTTACGTGGCCAACTGCCATTTTTAACTGTGGTGAAAACCGGTCACCGACCTTCTGGCCTCATGTAAATCTACGTAGACTCGGGACGCGTCAGTTTAAAATGGTAAAACGATATCTGATCATTTTCTTTAACAAATCATCATTTTCACGGCGTTAAATTTCCGTGGGATCGGCTGCACTGGAACTTCCTCTCTTTCACCGCGTTTTTTTCTCTCGAGTCTCTCAGCTCCAGAGCCACGGACTCCCTGCACTTTCCAATGAATAAATAATAATAAATCCCTCCAAAAAATAAAAACCAAAAAGGAAGAAGAAGAATAACCAGAAGGATGGCTTTAACGACGTCGCTAACGGCGGCGGTTCCGTTGACGGCGTTTCGTGATAATAGAGGAGTAGTAAAGACGACTACGTATAGGATGAAACAGAGGCAACGAGGGAAGCAGCAAGAACAACAACGACAAGTGCTGGCTGTTTTTGGTAATTTTAGTCATTTCGGCGATGCTGTGCGGAGAGACATGGAGTTCTTGAAAAAAGGAGTTAAAAGGGGAGCGGAATGGGCAAGCGAAAGTCTTAGGGTTCCTCAGGTGAAGAAAGCTTTGGACGACGTCGTTTGGCTTCGGAATCTCGAGGATCCTCACTTCTCTCCGCCTGCGCAACCGCCGCCGTGGCCTCAACCTTATTATCCAGGTTGAAATTTGAATTTCTTTTGTTTTCGGTGGAATTAGTAATAAATTAAATTGTTGAAAAATGTGAGCTAAAACTTCCGTGGTATTTGGATTGAGAGAAGTGGAGAAAAAGAGAATGAAAAATGAAGAAGGAAGAGAAGACAAGAGAAAGTTCTTTTTATTTTTATTTTTATTTGGTTTCTATATTTAGTGAAATTAGTAAATAATAAATAGTTGAAAGTGTTATTTACACTTCAGTGGTGTTTGGATTGAGAGAAATGGAGAGAAAGAGAAGGAAAATGAAGAGAAAATTTAGATATATTTTCTTTTGTTTGGTTTAGAAAATCACAATAGAAGCGAATGAAAAGAACATAAAATTTTCTTTTCTTTTAATTTTTTTTTTGGGTGAATTAGAAAGCAGGGAAAGATAAAATTAATTAGTTAATTTTAAGTTTTAATTTGTTCTATTTTAGTTACTGATAGTAGAATATCGATGTTTTTATAGAACTCTCTGGTTTGGATTTGATGATGGCTGATCTAAAGGCATTGGAAGCTTATGTTAGTTATTACTACTACCAGTCAAAAAAATGGTCAAAGCCACTTCCAGAAGCTTACGATGCAGAAGAAGTAGTTGATTATTTCAGTCGCCGGCCTCATGTAGTGGCCTTTCGACTTCTTGAGGTAGTTAAAGCGATTGATCAACCATGTTTGAACTTCTGTTTGGTTTTCATATTTTCCATTTGTTCGTTTTACCATTTGCTTTTTGCCTCTAACAAAGTTGCTAAAAGTAACAGCAAATGGTGAAGGAAAAATCATTATTGATTAAAAATGAACAAATGACTAAAATGGTTGTCTTTGAGGTTTTAGATGATAAAAAGAACAAATTATAAAATGTATGCTGATTTAAGAGTTAGAAAATTTTTTTTTTATTTAAAAATATTAAGTTTCTGTTTTTGTATCAAAACATGTGTTACTTTTTTGCTTCCAAAAGCAACAAGTAGAGCATTTGGATATTCAAGAATATAAATTTTTTTGAATAGTTAAAAAGGACAGTACTTTTAGTGAATAATAAAGTGTATTATCAAATATGAATTTTCATTTTGCTTTTTGCTTTTATTTTTTTTTAACTTTTGAGAATTGAAAAATCAAAAAGCATGTAACAGAAACAACAACCTCATGAAGTTTCAGGGGGTTCTTTTTGATCAATGTGCTCATGGGGCAGACAAGGCATGATCACCAAATTTATTGCTTTTGCATAGGAATGAGATAACATGACAGAATACATAACTGTATAATTCCTAAATTCTGTTTTGAAATTCAATCTACTTTCTAAATATGCCTGTCTGAGATGAGCTACTTCTTCTATTAGATTTTCTGTTCACTATTCCCAGCCTCTTTGTTCTTATCTCTATAAGCAATTAGTTATCTGAAGCAATTCTGTTGGCTTACGATATTGTGTTCTGAAGGTGTTCTTGTCCTTTGCCTCTGCTGCAATTAGAATTCGAATGTCAGGGATCAAAAAGTCCTTGAGACCAGGTTCAGTAAAGGGTGTTGACGAGAACTTTGCACAGTACAACTTTGGAATGGTGTTAAAGGAAACAATGTTAAGCCTTGGTCCCACATTTATCAAAGGTCAGAATTATGGTCTAGTTGAAGCGTGAGCACTTGTTTTGTTGTTTGCAGCCACTGGATAGTTGTTGTTTCTCTTTGAGTTATACGGTTGGCATTTTATTTTTCTCCTGCAGTCACAAGATTATGAATATGCTAGTTACATGCATTTCCTTGCTGATGCAGTTGGTCAGTCCCTTTCCACAAGACCAGATATTATTGGTCCTGAAATTTCCAAGGTTAGTGTAAAGAGAATTTCTTGCTTTATATTTGCTGTATTTTATGTGGGAACCTTTAAGTGACTATTATGTTGGTTGATATAGTTATTAATAACTGTTAGATAATTCATGCAGCAAGATTAGCCATTCATTCAATGCATTTATGTATGTCTTTAATTTCAACAATTTTAACCTAATAAATTAATTGGATAATTTTATCTTGTTTTGGGTGCTTAAATTGTTCATCATGTGATTCAAATGCTCTGTGATCCTTCTATTCATTTACTAACAGTTATGTTTCAGACTTCAGACTTGATATTTCTGTTGTTTGTTTATCCTTGAATGTGTGCTGATCTGTTCCTGGGGAACATGATAGATATGATGTTTCTCATCTTCTTCTGGATTTTCTACATTTTTTATTGTGCCTAATGGTTCAATAATCTGGTTTTGAGTTATGATGGCAGGCATTATCTGAGCTACACGATCAAATTCCTCCATTCCCCAGGCCTATGGCTATGAAAATTATTGAGGAAGATTTAGGTTCTCCTGTTGGATCATTCTTTACCTATATCTCTAAGGAACCAGTAGCTGCAGCATCATTTGGTCAGGTGGGCCATTAAATACCATTATCATGTGATATCAGTATAAGCTGCCAGGGGGGTGCGGGCGCTGGCAGGGCCCTTGTTGTCAAAAAAGTTTTTGGGCCCCATTTTTAGAACTTGTGGATTAATATAACAAACTTGTTAACTATTTTTGTTTTAAATATAATATTGACTTAATTCTGTATACTTTTTTATGTAAGGATGAACATATGTGATCTTTAATTCCTATGTGATTTTTTATTTCCTTAAATTAAGATTTTTTAAATCATCCAAATAAGCACGCTAATGTATTTTAATTATTGTCTCAATTGGTTTCTTTTTATGTTAATAATAGAAAAAACAATTAAAGAAAGTTAAATCATTAAATTTTTATGCAAAATTAATTGTGTTTTTACCTTTTCTTTTTTTTTTTGTCTTTTAAGTTACCATAATTCTTTTAAGGTTTTAAAAGGCATAATCCTTTGCCTTTTTTTGTTAGTAGTTAGACTTTGTAATTTGTTTTTCGTTTTTTACATCTGAGACCTTAACTTTTTATTCAACCTTTTCTCTATGAAATATGTATTATAACATTTGAAGTTAAAATTCTTTTATTCATAAAAAGAAATTTATACATTGTTATGCAATTATACTATCATTGTGTTAAAATTTAGTCTCTTATAGACTATTTTTACTTTTAATTTAATTACTTTTTTTGGGTAAATCACTTTGATTATATAAAACACACTTTTATTTCGGCCCCCTAAACAAATTTTCTGGATTTGCCCTGCCAGTGTATTTGCAAATTTTTTTATTGTCTTTCAATCACCATTTTAGGTCTACCGTGGGCGTACTATGGATGGTTTTGATGTTGCTGTGAAAGTTCAACGTCCTAATTTGCTCCATGTGGTAGTGCGAGATATTTATATTTTGCGCCTTGGGGTATGTATTGACATCTCTAGCTGTGTTCCTTATGTGGTTGAGCTTTCAATTTTTTTATTTTTCAAACTGAGCGATCAGTCTTCTTTTTCCAGCTGGGGTTGTTGCAAAAGATAGCAAAGAGAAAGAATGACCCTCGTCTATATGCTGATGAGCTTGGGAAAGGTTTAGTTGGGGAACTGGATTACACTTTGGAGGCTGCCAATGCTTCTGAATTTCTGGTATTCATAGCATTATCTGTTTAAATTTGTAGCTCTTTTGGGAAATAAATCAATAACATAGAAAAGTCCTGGAAAGGTTACATATTTAGTCACTACAATGGGAGCTTTATATATATATATGGGGAAAAGGGGATTCGAACCCTACTCTTTTTGAGAGGGAGATACCTCAATGGGAGCTTAGTTATTGAAGTTGGCCAAAATTGTTGCCTGTGTAATACGCCCAGCCTGCTGAGGCTTTGCCTTGAAAATTGAGGTAGGGTGAGAAGGAATTATTGGCCATGGATTTACTTTGTTGTGGCAGGTCAAGGATTTGGATTTTCATCCTTTTTTCCTACTCAGATTTTTTTTTCCTGTTGTTCAGTTCATGTCTTGGAGAGAGCTCTCTCTCTTCTACTAACTAGATGTGTTTTCTACAGGATGCTCATTCACGTTTTTCGTTTATGCAAGTTCCAAAAGTATTTAAAGAGTTAACCCGGAAGAGAACTTTGACCATGGAGTGGATGGTTGGTGAGAGTCCAACTGATTTACTTTCTGGAAGTACGAGTAACTCCATCAATCATGACTCTAAATATTTAGAGAGGCAGAAAGTTGAGGCAAAAAGGCGTCTTCTTGATTTAGTGAGTAGTGATTAGCATATATTTTCCATATGTTCATGACTTTTGTCAAACTCTTTGCTTACTGCTTAGTATTTGATACCTTGTATATAGACTTCTGCTCCTGAACAATCAGTTTGTATTTGAGTATGGTATGTGTATAATCACATTAATTTTAGACCTAGGTGAGTGATTTGCCTGAGAATAACTGGGAGTGGTAGCGAAATATCATATTTCCTAAATAATATATATATACATATATATATATATATATATTAATGTGATAAACATGGTCTGGGATTATTTATGAACTGGTCCAAAGAAGCTTGCTGTGTATATGGTGCAAGTTAGAATATCATCATTAATTTGTCTACCAAGAAGTTGTCAAGATAAGAACATCAAACAGCCAGTGCTTAACAAGAAAAAAACTTGATTGGCAGTTGAGAATGTGAGTAGGAGGTGGAGGTCAAGGGGTTGAACTATATTTAAAATTTTGAAATCCTTTAGTCTGCAAATTGCAAAATTTGATCTGCTATTATGAATGAAGTATCCACATTTTGGTATCAAGTCGGTCCACCTAGGGACCATATTATGGCACTTAGATTGGGATTGCAGTTTCTTCCCCTAGTTAATGGCTCTTAAAAACTAATTTTCTATATTCCTGGCATAAACAATAGTTTGTTATTGTTACCTAGCTAAGATTTATTTTCAATTGATTGATATCTTTTGTGTTCTAACTATTATAGGTGAACAAAGGAGTGGAGGCATCACTTACTCAACTCCTTGAAACAGGCTTGTTGCATGCTGATCCACATCCTGGAAACTTGCGATACATGGCATCAGGACAGATAGGGTACACTTGTCCTGCCTTCTTTCAATTGTAGGAAGATCTTGGTTTTGCTTTGCTAATGGAAGGGTTTTTCTTTTGGTGACTTCTGCCCCAGGTTTTTGGACTTTGGCTTGCTTTGCCGAATGGAAAAGAAGCATCAATTTGCGATGCTAGCATCCATAGTACACATAGTAAATGGTGATTGGTCATCCCTTATTGAAGCTCTGACTGAAATGGATGTTGTAAGGCCAGGAACTAATACCCGGCGCATTACCATGGTATGATTTACTTGTTTAATGGCTCTGTGTATAAACTACAAATTTTATTTGAGCTTAGAGTTTCGACAGGTGACTACGGTATTCTGCCTATTGTTGTTGCTATAAAGCCAAGTTCATCTTGTTGATTTTTGTCATACGGCAACTGTTAAGATTCCTGCCAATGAGACTTTTTTTTTTCTTGGTTCCTGCCAACAATACTGATGGCTTTTTCTTTTTTTTTTTTAAATGGTTCAGGATCTGGAAGATGCCCTAGGAGAGGTAGAATTTAGAGATGGAATTCCTGATGTCAAGTTCAGTAGGGTGAGAAATCACATTTTGAACTTTAGTTTGCGTACTGATGCTAATTACACAACCATAAGGGATAGCTTTCCATGTCTGAATCAAATTAGTAGAATTATGAATTCCAACTGGATTTGATTGGCAAAAGACCTTTCTCTTTTTATTCAGAAAAGCATGTGGGTTGATAGATATCTGAGGACATAGATTCGATTTAACCTCATGGATGATCAGCTAATTTCCATGTAAATTGTTACCTGCTATTGATATTATATTTTTATATTTGTTTTAAATGAAGTCATGGTTAGAAGATTGTTATCATGTTTAGAATTAAAAATACGGGTACTGATTATCCTATTGGGTTCATCATTGTAAAAGCTTAGCTGCTTAGTCTTTAAACAATTAACTAATTGATCTTTGCAAGCCATATTTTTTCTGAACAATTCTGCCTTTGAGTTCCTAAAGTTCCAACTTAGATGCCAAACATATTTTAGGCCATTGAACTCATAATCGCATACCTAGTGTCCCATTCTTCATAGTTTGACATAAGATGCCCAACCCCTATCATTTCAAAGCACTGATTCGTTTGGAAATGCTTATTATCATGCTTTCTTTTTCTCTCAATGACTCCTTATAGTGTTATTATACATAATTCCTCTCACTGAATCCAGCTAAATTTTATTTTCGTTTTTTCTTACTGCCTTGTATCTTTAAGTGCTGATTGTCATATTAACCTTGTTGAAGGTTCTGGGTAAAATATGAACTCATAATCACATATCTAGTGTCCCATTCTTCATAGCTTGACATGAGATGACAAACCCCTATCATTTCATAACACTGAGTCCTTTGGAAATGCTTATTATCGTGCTTTCTTTTTCTCTCTATGACCCCATCTAGTGTCATTGTACATAATTCCTCTCACTGAATCTATGACTCCATCTAGTGTCATTGTACATAATTCCTCTCACTGAATCTAGCTAAATTATTATTATTATTATTTTTTGCTTTTTCTTACTGCCTTATATCTTTAAGTGGCTGATTCTCTTATTAACCTTGTTGAAGGTTCTGGGTAAAATATGGACTGTAGCTCTCAAATATCATTTCCGCATGCCGCCATACTACACACTTGTTCTACGTTCTCTTGCTTCATTGGAAGGTAAGTTATAGCATTCCTTATTTCTAAATTTTGATTTTTTTTCTATTTATTTTGGTAGAAACTTTGATGTTGGTTATGCTTTTCCATTCATCTGGGTTTTAATCTCAAGTCTCAACACCAAATGTTGCATGAAGACCTTCGAAGGTGGTATAAAGAATTCAGAATGGAAAGTTTGAGAAAAAAGCTACTTGTTTAAAAGGATTCAGAAGTATGTCGTGCATATTTTGATACTATTTTAACCTGAAATTTTACATGACAAAAAGAATATTGTTTACTACTTTATCATACTAATGGAACCTCAGGCGGAGGAACCAAGTCTGAGTCATTTGAATGATTCACATAGCTCAGTAGAGTTGATTTGTGATCAGCAATGAAAAGAACTTGAGTTGAGTTCAATTGGTTCAAGTTTTTCTTGTTCTCTTGATTAATATCATTAGTGAAAAAATGGGGTCTGTAAGGTCAAGTTATAAGAACCCAGGAGAAATGTTAAAATGCCAATCTAATAGGAGTGATTGTCAACAACTATTCTGTTGTAATGTGGTATTTTTGCGTATCATTTGTTGTAGCTTTTCTGTCAGGGAGGTGCTATGATTGTGCATCTGCTTTCTTGTTCCATTTTCTAAAATGAAAAAGGAAAGGGACTAATTTATACAGGTTAAGTGTCAATATTTTTGGACAAAAATGGAATGGGAGATGCTTCTGACAATGCACCTTTCCTGCATTGCATGTGTTTATTAATTGTTTTCCATAGATGCAGCTCTGTTTTAAATATTTGTATGGTTCATCTCGGTTCCTTTATAGACAGTTTATATAATGATCCCAACTGGCTGTAATCTCTAAGTATTCTCCATGATATTCTTTCAGGTTTGGCAGTAGCTGCAGATCCAGGCTTTAAGACATTTGAGGCTGCTTATCCTTACGTTGTCCGCAAACTTCTAACTGAAAATTCAGCTGGAACAAGGAAAATTTTACATTCGGTAACAATTTAAGACTACAGTTTATTTATGAGCCAGACACCTATATCAGTTTATCATGCGTATTATTGAAGTCTCTGTCAATAGACCTTAACAATTAGTGACAGTTTTATTCCAAAGTAGTTTTGCTGCTGCAAATGAAAATGTAATTTAGGCTTAGGGATGTTAGTTTGCAAGTTAGTAAGATGTGGATCTTACAGAAATGGCTGTTATATGTTTGAATTATACTCTGAGGTACTTCTGCTTGACAACTATTAGCATCTCATAATTTAAATTTCCAGAAGGTTAAACACTAGTTGGTTATTTATTACCAACATTGCGAAATGCATCGTGTAATTCTTGGGACTTTATAGTAGTGGTCACTTCTATATATAGGGTACTGAACTATATTTTTTTTTGGTAGCTCCAGGTGACATAAGGATATTCCTAAGTTGATTTTGTAATTTTTTTGTTGTTTTATCAATTTGAATTTTTCCAATTCAGGTGGTTTTGAACAAAAAGAAGGAATTTCGTTGGGAGAGGATGGCACTTTTCCTGAGAATAGGTGCAACAAGGTGGGTTGAACTGTTATGGTTTACCATCTTTTATTCATATCATTAATGATGCCATGACCCAATATTTTGGAAGATCCTGTCCATGACTGGGACCTCCATCATTTTCCATTACCGTATAAGTTGTTCTCTAAGCTTTTGAAAGTGATTACTTCATCTTATATAAGTTTTAAGCTTTTTAATTTGAAATTCGCTTGTGTTTAGAGTTGTGTGCCATACAAATACAATTTGAAAAGAAATCAGAAGGGGGAAGGAAGAGTCTTCATTAAGAATTTAAGTACTTTTACTTTGAAGTCATGCATGTTCAGAGATCTTTTCCATTGCAGATTCTTAAACCAATAGGGGTAAAAGAAAAGAATGGAAGACTTGTAGATTGAGAAATCTAGGTCCATATGAATAAAGAGGACACACAATGACAGTGAAATGGACTTACCATTTATTTAATGAATATGAAAAGCATACAGTCTAGTTTCGAGAAATAGAGGAAAAGATGGAAGTTTTCTTATCCTTTAAAGGTTTATGAAAATGCATTTGGAGAAGCCATGCCTGCTCTTTATTGTGTGCTCTCAGGACAGGCATTCTAATGAAACCTTTTCTTTTTTTCTGATGGCTTTTAGTGTAGCTTTTTTTTGTGCTCTCAGGACAGGCAATCAAATGAAACGGTTTTTTATTTTTCCAGATAGCTTTTAGTGTAGTGTCATTTGGTGTTTAAATTTAGGCTCTAATTCCAATATTTTCTGTAGAAAGAGTTTGCAGTGGGTGGTAGCATCGAGTGGTGAAACTTCCATAGATAATTTACCAAATGGAACTAATGGAGTATTTGATGTTGCATATCTGTTGCTGAGGCTTTTACCATCCAAAGATGGTGTGGTGCTTAGAAGACTTATAATGACTGCAGTGAGTGCTGTTCAACTTGATTCCTTTCTTCTTTCCAGATTACCTCTTGTTCATGGGATGGTTGATGGCAACCCCTGAAGTGCACATTGCTTGAATTTCTTTGAATTCAGAGTGCCATCAGCTTTTAATCAATTTATTGTGCCTTACATTAGCTGGAATTTTCCAGTACATTTTTGTTGGGGACTGATGAATTTGGACTAGATCTCTTACGTGGTGACCTAGTCAAAGATGCAATGGCTTTCACTTAGCAATATCAATTTTTTTTCAATTGTTGTATTTTGTATTTTAAACTCATTTTGCCTTCTGATGAGCAGGATGGAGTTTCATTAGTCCGAGCTCTGGTTTCTAAAGAAGCAAAGGTTTTCCGTGTCCAACTTTGCAGAATCATTGCCGATATCCTACGCCAATGGGTGCTTGAAGCTCTTGGGCAAATTGTGCCAGCAAGCCAGAATAGTTACCAGTTAAGGCTGGCCAGTGGGCCTGAGAATAGAGAGCTAGGTCCATCTTCCAGACCATTTACACCCACCTTCGACTACCAGTCCCTTTTGAAGGATAGACGACTGAAGGTGATCTTCTTCAAGATCCTAAACTCTGCAAGAAAGGAACCTGCATTGCTGCTAAGGTTTTACTGGACTTCATTTGTAATGTTCATCGCTGCTTCAGCCCTGGCTTTTCATCGGCTTTTAATCTCTTTGTCTGAAGCCTACCTGGGAACATTGCCATTTGCTCCCAAACGGTATGCAATGAGCACATGAACCTTCAGTTGAAACCAGCAGAGAGCCTATTCTTTTTCCACAAAAGTATTCTTCAAAGCAACAACGAGAGCTGATCTTTGGGAGAGTGAAGCTAACATGGTCAAGACTATTCTTCGGAGTTGGATTATATGGCATTTCTTGGATGAGTAATCTTCCTTGGTATATCTATGGAAATAAAGCCACCTTTTATTGACGTTGCCAATTTGCCAAAGATGCAACATGTGGATAAATTCACTGTTTCAAGCCTTGAAAGACATACGGAGGGGAGATTTCAACACTTTGTCGCCGGTGTTCTGGCAGCCATGTTTACCATATTCAGAGGTAACTGTACATTTTCAAGCTTACCAGTAATGATTTTGGCAAAAAGTTAGATTCTACATGTAAGTGTTAGAATATATTTGTAGTATGTGTATATGTTTAGGATATAAAGGTCATTAAATATAATTTTTATGTATTATATAAACTAATGTACCAAAACCCTAAGAATTACTAGAATATTTTTTCTACTGTGAGTAGCCAAAGAATTTAACATCATCATTCAATAGAATATATATTTTTATATATACATATTGTGAAGTTCATTTTATAAATTCAGAGATACACTCATAATATAATGCTGTTAGTAGGCTAGTTGGTTAGATTACAATACTATTAACTATTGCGGTTAGACTGCCTGTTAGTATATTACTGTCTTGGAATACAAGATAATATACACAGAGTTTTGGAATGCAAGATTTCTTTTCTTGCATTGCCTCTCGTTAATGTTTCTTTCGTGACGAGTTGTCACGTGTTAGGTCCATGGTTCTTACACGTGAGGTGTCTTGGGGTTTTGGGTACGTAAATATAATAATAATCATTTCATCTATTGTTAATTAATTTTAACTGAGACGTTCATTTTAAAAGATTTAATATAATATTTTTAGTTAATTAAAGTTAAATTCTAAACAAGATTAACTTTATATACATGTATATTTTATTTACCTTTGTAATTATATACATAGTTTCGAATTACAAGATTTATTTTCTTATAATCTATATAACCTACATTTCCCTTTGTTTTGTACATTAAAATTTCAAGCATGTCTCATTGAAATTGGCAGGCAAGAAGCCTTCATTTCTCGACTAGGTTTTGTCCTCAGAATGAAAGAACCCGAAAAACAACAAAATTGAATTTGTGTTTTCCTTAATTCATCTCTGCTATAGCATGATTCCCCTTCTGATTTGAACTTATAAGGATAGTACAAAACATGCTTCCATAGCATCGTTTTCAAAATTTTTGGGTTTGATTTTGGTATGTGGGGCAAGTGGGGTGAGAATTGTGATTGAAAAATTAGTATCAAATATGTGTTTGTTGCATGGGATAATTGCAAAATTTGCAATCATCATTTATAATTTGAGGGCTTATGGTTTCATTTTTTGATACTGATTGAGCATAAATATTGATCATACTTTTTAAATATGAATCAATATTAATTTTTTTTAATTTATTAATCATTTTAAATAAGTAATTCGAGCGTTAACTTAACCGTTGTATTTTATTTTTAATAAGAAAATTTTGAGTTAAAATTTTATTATTTTAATATTCTTTAAGTTATTTTCAATTTTAAGAATATTTGTGCTACGGATTTCATTTCAGTTTTTGGATTTATAAATAAAATTTTTTATAATCAAATAAATATATTTTTTTATTAAAATATATATTTATAATAATTGATATTAAAATTTACTTATATTAAACTTTTTTTAAAAATACAAAATTAATATAATTTTGCATTAAAGTTTCTTTCTCAATTATGTTAAAAAATCAGAAAATATCCTATCAAAGACATAAATAATAAATGATATAAGCGCTAAAGTTGGAATTTCTAAATAAAATATTTTAATAATTAATTTTTTTTTCAAAAAAATAAAACATAAATGTGTGGGAAATAAAAGATTAAATACTGTCGTATTCTACATTTTTTGCGAGTGTCAGTATAATAACATACCTCTCCTCGCCGCTATTCGCAATCACGCGCTTTTCATTTCCTTACTTCCTCCGTCACTCCGATCCAAAACATTAAAAAAGGGAAAGAAAAACCCCAAAAATTTCTGACTATAAAAAAAACCCGGAAGATAAAATTTCTCATTCATCCTTTCACTTCCATATTTTGTTTAGATCACTCCGCCGTTCACCGGAATAAAATCAACCCCCACAGTTCACTCTCTCCACCATGAGCTCTCAGGTAATCTTATCTTCACCAAATTTCCATTCCATAAGAGAAAGATATTCAAAATTCTTATTTATTTGCTTTTTTTTATAATTCTTTTTGAATTTGAAATTTATAGGGAGGAATATTCAGTGGGTTCACAAAGCTATGTAAGGGACTAGCAGTGATTCTTATCGGTGGCCACATTGTGGTTCAGCTTCTTCCTTCTTCTGTTACTTACCTTGCTCTTATTCCCGCCAGGTTCTTTTTCCTATTTTTCCCTTTTTCATTTGTTTTCTTCAATTTTATGTTAATATTATTCAATTTCCATGCTAGAAATTTTGGTTGCCCTTTCAGTGAAAGACCCATGTTGGATTTTGGTCCAATTTTCATTTTTAATTGGACAAATTCTAAATCATAGCATTAGAATTTTCTTTTTCTTTTTTTTTGAGGGGTGGGGGGGATTGGGTGTTTATGTACTGATGGGTTGGTTCTAGTTTAATTAAACAGTTGATGTCTTTACATGCTTCGTTGAGTGACTTAAGATTTATTATTTGGATGTTTAGATCTGGATTCTGGAATAGTGTTAGCATTTTCTTGAACTTGGCTGGTTATCTTTTGATCATATGATGGCTTTTTTTCTAGTTAATTGGAATCTATATTGCTTTTCAACATATTCAATGGGAGTAACTTAGATTTTGTTTATTTGAATGCTTAGATCTGGGTTTAGGAACTTAAATTAAACTATTGTTTAGATTTCTTGAATTTGCTTGCTTATTTTGGCGAGTTGTTTCGAGTTAAGTATAATATTTATTGCTTATACATGTTCCTGGAGAATGACTTACGATTTCAATATGAAGATACCTAGATCTGCATTCTGGTGCTTCAAACAAGCTTTTAGAAATCATTATCTTTACCACCTTCAGTTTGATTGGTTGAATTTTTTATGTTTTACACTTGACCAGGGGGAGTGGTTTTGAGGTTTATTTAGAGTTTAGATCTACATTTTGGAACTTGAAGGTGGATATCAGTTTACAAACCTGTGTCTTACCTGTTATTGGTTCAGGGATTAAAGCTCTAACTGTGTTTTTGGATAAGTTGCGAAAGTCAATATAATCAGATCCTGTCAAAAGAATGGGTGCTTTTTGAGATCAGTGATCTCGTTGTAATCCATTCTATTTGATGTTAATGTATAAGTATTGAAACAGGAAGCAAAATGTTATGTAAATTGCCTGCTGGAACACTTACTATGACTATGAGATAGTATACAAGTTGCCCGTTATGGTATGGTTTTTAGCACACATGATAAAGCGTGCACCTGTAATTTCTTTATCTTTATCTGTTGCTGATATTAGATTCAGATATGTTGGAATACCTTTTTTCCATAAGATGTGGGAGAGAAGTGCTTTGGTTTGCAAGCGTTATTTCAATGACTTGATTCTTTTTTGTCCCTCATGCAAACTTATTTTCAGGACAATTCCTTTTGGTTGGAATCTCATAACTGCTGGTTACATTGAGCAATCAGTACATGGGGTATAAACATATTTTAGTTTACTCTTTCTTTTGCCTAATTTTTATTGTTTTAATCACATAGTTGTACTGATGGTTACTGATTTCTGCAGGTGGTTGTCAGCACACTTGGTCTCCTTTTCATGGGGAAGTTGCTTGAGCCTGTATGGGGTTCTAAGGAGTTCTTGAAGTTCATCTTTGTAATTAACTTTCTAACCTCTGTTTGTGTTTTCATCACTGCTATTGCCTTGTACTACATAACAAGGCAGGAAAATTACCTGTGAGTACTATTATCTCCCTATGTGTTTGAGAAGCATATATTTTTCATGACTTCTTCTCCTTATGCCCTTCCCTCTTTTGTTTGTTCTTTTTTCTACCATTCTCAATCAGATATTTGAGAAGTAAAAGAGAATAAATTTATGAAATTGTAGCCCTCTTTCCCCCCCTTTTTCACTGACTGATTGGTAGGAAAATGATGTAATTATCTCAAAGTTGATGAAAATATATTGTGCTAAAGTTAACCTAATTATTTTTCCCATCATGTGTACAATTTTTATGACTCTCAACCTTGATATGCTGATTCTCTTTTGGTCTTTATGCTAGTTACATGCCTCTTTCTGGCTTCCATGGGGTGCTAGCAGGCTTCTTGGTTGGCATCAAGCAAATTGTACCTGACCAAGAGCTGTCTTTATTGAAAATAAAAGTAAAGGTAAACATTGATACTGTGAGCACCATGTGATAAAACCTTTTTTTAGTTTGGAATCTGCCCCTTCTTACTCTTTGATGATGCTTCCTATGTTACGCAGTGGCTGCCATCACTTATGCTGTTGCTATCCATTGTCATAAGTTTCTTCACCCCAGAGTCAGCAACATATCTTCCAACTTTGATATTTGGAACATATATGGGCTGGATTTACCTCAGATACGTGCAGAGAAAACCAGAAGCCAAGCTTAGGGGTGATCCAAGTGAAGATTTTGCATTCTCTACATTCTTTCCTGATTTTCTCAGGTATTGTTTGTTTTCCTTTTAGCTCATGAAATGACAAGTTCATTCTAAGCTCTCACTTTCTCTCAAGTATTTCCCTCTAATGTGGTACAGACCAATCATCGATCCCATTGCATCAATATTTCACCGGATGCTTTGTGGAAAGTCTGAAGCTTCCACAGATGCTCAAGGTTATACCTTGGGAGGAGCGCCATTACCTGGTTCTGACCCCATTGAGGCAACTAGGAGAAGGTAACTTTTGCATGAGATCTCTATGGTTGAGATAGTAATGATTTTGTTTTATTGTAACAAAACAAGGGCAATTCCTTTGAGAGAAGAAACTTTTGGTTTCTGACCTCTCTGTAAACGTTGCAGAGAAAGAGGTGCTAGAGCACTAGAGGAGAGATTGGCAGCTGAGAGGTTGGGTGCTGCACAGAATTCAGAAGACTCACAAAAAGAAGGCGTTGATAATGTTTGATTGCTCAGAAACTCCAGCATCATTGACAACTATGGAGGTTATGCCATCTCTGGAGAAGTATCTCTTTGTGGACTCTGGTTGACAGTTTTGTTATATATTCTTCTGTGGATTATAATTCTCATAGTACACAAATTTCTCTTCATTTTTCCTTTAATTTTTCTTTTTTGGTTTTGTTTTCTGCACAATGAAGTGGTCCATCTATGCTCTTGCACCATATATATAGAGTAGAAAAGAGAAGAAATCCTAGATTATATTGTTACCCTTACATTCAAAATAGAGGCAAAATTCATCTTAATTTTAAATTTTTTTTGTTCTTATTTAGGCTCTTTAGCATGCTTGCTTTGTATAATACAGTTTTATGGCCATTTTCAATGCACTCTCTCCACATTGGGGACCCTTAGTTTGTAGAAGCTCTCATTTTGGTATTGCCCTTTACTCTCCTCACTACCAGGTTGGACAGGCTAAAGGGCCAACTTAGTATACAGTTCTCACTCTCTTGTGATCTTTACTTGACACGGTTCATTGTTATATGTTGTGATCCAACCTTGATAACTTTTATTATCTTATCAAAAATAAGATTAATAAATTTATGACCAATTTAATTTAATGGGTATTTTTTTATTGGTAAAATATTTGACAAAAGGAAATATTTTCTCTAGCCTAGATTCATGAATTTTTTTTTGAAAAATAAAAAATTTTAAGTATAATGGTGAAATAAAATTTTAAACTATTAAAAAATTTTAAATAAAGTTTTATTTTTTTATATTTAATAAAATTTTATATTTTTATTTTAAATCAAATAAAATTTTATAATTAATGATTGATTAAATATTATTAATTAAAATATTATTTATTATGTTATATTTACATAATATTGATAAACTATTAATATAAAAAATAAAAAATTATATTATTATATTAAATTAATATATTATATCATCATTAATTATAATATGTTAATATGTTATATCATTATTAATTATAATATATTAATATATTAAGTAAAAAATAATATTTTAATTAAAATAATAATTAATTATAAATATTTATTTGATTCAAAATAAAAATATAAAAATTTATTTAATTTAGAATAAAAGTTTAAAAGTTTAAATGAATATAATTATATAAAATAATAAATTATATTTTAATTAAGATAATTAATAATAAAAAATTATTTAATTTAAAATAAAATATAAAAAATATAATTAAATATAATAAAAATATAAAATTTTAAAATTTTAATATTATGTCAAAATTTTAATATTTTATAAAAATTATATTTTTACAAATAAAATTTATGAAAAAATAAATAAAAGAGACGTGTCTCACAAGTGATGTTTAAAAGGTACAAGGTGGCCTAACTCCCAAAAAAGGCCAGAAAAAAAGTAGAGCTTATCTACTATCAGTTTCACGCACACCATATTTTACTCTTATGCGTAATCGCCACGTCAGATAGAAGGAAGGCGTGGCTTTTATTGATTTTCCAGATGTACTTCGCTGATTTTTTGATCCTACCAACTGATCTCAGAACTGAGTTGCACTCGATTACTCCTCTTTTTCAAAAAGTTTTTAATTTGTTTTTAAATTTTTTTAACTATATAAGAGCAAAGGGGAGAGCTCCCGAAAAGCCGCTTGTAATTTCATTTTTGTCAGAATTTTTTTTTCCGCTTTCTTTGGCCACCTTATGATCCTTTGAACATTCTGCCAGTCAACGTTGAATCAAACGGTCAAGGTAAACTATCGGGTGAATACTTTTCCGTTTCCTTGATCAATCATCATCCGATCAATTTAATCGTAATCGATAAATGTTTTTTGTTAGTATCTACTTGATGCTTGATTTCGGCGATGAAATTTTTTCTTTTCCGTTTGAATTCTCTTGGAAATAATTATCTTAATTTTTTTGATCATTGTCATATTGTTCTATTTAATTTGCTATTTCTGGTGATATATATCTGTAATTGCAGTTGAGTTATGTACTAGATTATGTCATTTGGCGAAAAATTTCTTGGAAATTATTTTTAATTTGGGGATTTTTTTAAAATTTTTATTAGGCTAGATATTTCTTGGAAATGAAATATTGTAGTATTAGTTTATGATTCTTTGTATTTGTGAGAGAAATGCGCTTTTACACGAACAATAATTATAGTGAGGAAAAGCAATGGGATTCGACTGGTATTTAAGGTGAAAATTTGTTTATTGTTTGTGGCCAAATGAATCAAAAGATAACTGGTTACTGGACGGTATTAAAAACAATTTTGGACAATTTTATGGCATTAATGTGAAAAGGATGTTTTCAATTGTTCTTTTACATATGGAGACTCATGGGGTCTTTGAACTATGTAATGGGAGAGGTACGCTCAATATAAACTTGAGAACTCCAAGTTCGAGTCTTAAATTTTAATTGCCGGGACGTTCCTTCGGAAGCAATGTGTTAAACTGTTGCAGTGAAGGTAATGGTATGGTATATATGGCAATATGCAGTATGGTAGCTCGCTAATATCTTACTATGGTTGTTTGTCTGGTTTTTTTTTTCTTGCTAACCAGGTCTTGTTGAAATTGGCTGTTTGTTTTGGAGAGAGGAAACAGTTTCCATTTGCTTTGCTTTCTTTAGGTGTGCAGGTGTTGATGATTCTTCAGAAGTGGAACTCTAGCATTATATTGGGGCTTTGAGATGCAAGGGTAGAGGCTATGGGATTTAGGGTAGAAAGGGAGTTGGTGTTTTTAATCTCTAGTCCTAAGGGCTTTGGAGATAAACTACATGTTGATGGGTCGGATCTTGGAGAGCCTTGAGCTGCAACTTTAATAATATAATAAGAAAACCCAATTCACAACTGATTTCTCCTCCCCTAGCCCCCCCTCCTCTTTTATGATTAGTTCTGGATAATTTCATTGAAAACTTAAATGCTCTATCAGCTTGATTAGCATGTTTGTATTTGCCTCTTTGGCGCCTCTTCTCGTGTTGTACATGATGCTATGTATTTCCTTTTAGAAGAATTCCCCTTATCTCATTTTGTACTTGTATTATTTTCCTAATAAAAGCCCCTCTTTCCCATACTCTGTATTTTTGTTAGATTAAACCTAGCAATTTAAATGCACAAACATTGAGTTGCTGCAACAATTAAGTATTAGAGTATATGCTGTTAATTGCAGAAAGTTAAGTGTGTACCAACTATATATCAGTGTTAGGGTAGAGAATTTTTCTTTTATTATTATTTATTTTTGGGTGCAGTGTACTGTAGGTGGAAATAATTAATTTAGGCTTAAAGTGAAGCCACAACAGAACTCCAAATAAGCATTAAAATCTTTTAAGTCTACTTATATATTGTAATTCTTTTGCAAATATATATATATATATATATATATATTAATCTACTCTTGAAGCTGTCAAGTTCATATTGATTACAACTCGACAGAATGACAAACAGAATAAAGTACGAAGATCTTAGGTTGATTAACTAGCGTACAGAGAAAAGAAAGTACTTGTATCAAGAAAGCAACTAAAGTTATATTTGATGGAGGACTATTGCATGGCTATGAATGAACACTTAAAGATTTCAGTGAGGTAGAATTGGAGAGATTTGTAGGATCTCATATATATATATGGTGTAAGTTTAACAGGTTTCACATCCAGATTGCTAAAGAAGAAGGTAGTGCTACAAAGAAAACAAACTAAACTAGTTTCAGAGGTGCTTAGATGCAAAAGACTTGATTGATGGAGAAAAACTGTACCATGAGAAGATGCAACCATGACAGTGAAGCCATTAGATGTATTTCAATGACTGTAGAAAGAGAAAAAAAAAAAAAACCCCAAGCTTTTGAAAATATTGGACTAGTAGACACTAATTCAACTTTGCCTTTTTAAAGGCTTTGCCATCTAACATCAAGATGCTTAGAAATGTCATTTGTGATGGCGACCTCCTTTTGTAAGAATCTAATTGGATAGTGCATCAACACTTTCTCAAAGGAGATAGGACATGACATGCTGAAGGTTGTTATTCTCATTTTCTGCTAAGATGCTGAAGGATGATATTCTCTTGTTAATCTAATGTTACTCTCTTGGTGAAGGTTGTTATGCTCATGTTCTGCTGAGGAAATGACGGTTAGAGTGTTAGTTTGAAGCTTAATTTGATTGTCTCTCACTATCTCTTTGCCTCTTTCTTCTTTTGAAGAGTGAGATGGGTTCTTATCTTTAAGTTTTGTCTGTGTTAGCAATTTATTTACCAGTAAGTTTTTACTTCTTTTAGTTATCCATGTTTTCAGCCTTCTCCATTTTCATTTGGATAAATAGAACTTCTGGAAACCTTGGGTAATTCTTGGGTGTCAGAGGGTATTCAAGGGATAATTGCAGGCAGCAATATTTGGACGTTTACAAGAAATGTTTCCAGTTGAAAGTATTTGTTTTCTTGCAAGCAAATCCTCTAGTTATTAAATAACTCTCTTTCTCCCCATCTTTCTTTGAAACATGTATTTTGTCAAACATTCCCCATTTCAGATAAATGTTTGCTTAGCACTTCTCGTTTTCAACAAGTTCCTGTGTCTAGTCCATTGACTTTCTATCAGATTCTTCATTCATTCTGTTGCAAGAAGGCCTCTAATAAATGTTTTCTTTTAACAAAAAAAAAAAAGAAGAAAAAAAAAAAACTCGTTAAGGGTACTTGTTCCTATTTTTTTAATGCCTCTGGTTAGTAGTTTGTTGCTAGCCATCAAAAGGATCGCCAAGATTTGGTTGAAAGCTTGGTAATTTTCTATTTTATTAGCATTTATCTAAAGTGTACATGTTGTATTGCAGGCACCTTTTGGTCACATTCAGCAACAGGAGAAAGAATTTTCCTTTTTGAGCTTTCTATCTTCATGTCAAGATTCTTTGTGCCCTTACAGCTGGTATAATTTGTTAGAAATCAGTTTTATACTGGGGAAGGAAGTGTTAGTGCTCCTAGAAGTTTGTAACCTCTGTTGGGAAGTTTTTCACACTGGAAATGTCAACATATCTTTATTTAATCTAAGCTTGGGGATCTTCACAGCCATGTATCATGTAATTGTGCTGATCATTTCACGGAGGATATGGCATTAGAACTTAGAACTATAGGATATTGTAAGCAGTCTAGAATGAAGTGTTGAAAAGGCAAGAAAGCTTTGGCATAATATTCTTTTTTATTTTGGAATATCCATTACTGGTGTGGTATGTCATATGTTGTAGTATTTTATTTGGGGCCGTTAGTGGCATAGGTGGACTGTCTTCCCTCCAGAGGTATTCTGATGGTGGGATATATTGTGTTGATCATTTTCTTTTGCACTTGAGTTTTTTAGAGTTGGAGTATCAGGAAGTTCTGCTGCAGAGAATTAGGAATTCCATTGTTGGGTGCAGTCAAATAAATAGATGGACAAAATCTTAGTCAGTTGCATGAATTATTGGATTTGTTCCTGCTAGCTCCTTTATACCTCTTGTCATCTGATATTTTCCAATATTCTCACACCTTCCATTTAATTAAAACTAGCTACTTCTTTTAAGATGATCAACTTCCTTATTGTCTACCATCATGTGTCTGGGCAGTAATATTGAAAGAAGCACATATTGCAATCTAACAATTTGTTGAAACTTCTCTCAAGCAGTTGCGAAGTGCCAACTAGGGAACTGTACTATGTAGGTAACTGCTGATTGTTATGCTGTGATTATGATGATGATTGTTGTAAGGAGGATGATGAGAATGTAATAGAGTTGATAATTACCATTTTTTTTTTAATTTTCTTTTGCATCACTTAAATGCATGGAAAGAGCAACATCGAGTTACTTGCGTTCTTTTTAAGCATTCACCAAAAGTTGTGTGCGGTGGTAAATCATTGGGTTGTGGATGGTTTAGACATATGATGCCAGTCTCACTCTCTGTGACTGCATGACAAATTTTTTGGTGTCCATTGGTTATTGCTCATTACCCCTGAAAGTATCATTGTGATGGTTATGAATTCCATTCATGTGCTGTCTAGAGTTGCTTTGAGAATTGATCTGGAATTTTTTTAGCTCAATTTTGCATGAAGTGCACAATCTCAAGCAGTTACATAGACATTATGTTTTACAAGCTACAGGATTTTCCTTGCATGCCACCCTTTTACATGTGATGATTTCAACCGCTGTAAAATCAGATATAATTTTAGAAAGGAGTCATTCCCCTATGGTGTATCTGAATTTTTGTTTTAAATGTTTGGGACAACTTTGTAACTAGGGTGTTGTTACTGGTGTAGAATAGTATATAAGTATATTTGGTGGTTTATATTCTGTATAGAGATCAAAGTTTTCAAAGTATAGATGTAGTTGATTGTAGTGACTTATTGTGGGGTAATAGATTGCTGAATTGACAATGGCAACTTTTGTTTTATCATTTTAGGTTTATGGATTTTTCAAATTTAAATGGGCTTGATGTTTTCTCTTGTATATGCAGACAGTGATAACCAACGTTTTCATTTTCTTCTCTCAATGTTTGTCTTGATTTGAATCCTTCACTTAAGGCTCTCATCCTCAGCTTTCATTATTAATGTAACTTTTCAGGTTGGGCTGTTATCTTTCTTCCTTAGGAAGATATTTTTCGTGGCTGCAGCTTAACTTAGAGGTTACTTTAAATGGGTAGAAACATTTTATAGTATAATATGTTTCTGTCTTTAGAAAAATTTGAGATATATGTTGTATGGTATAGAGTGTAGATAGGCTTTGATAAATTTAATGATGCATGGGAGAGGTTCGGACATACGAAGTTGTTCATGGAAGTCAATTAGACTTATCGTTTCATATGAAGCCTACTTCTTGAAGCATAAAGGTTCTGAACTCACAGAACAGTTTAATATGTTGCCATAAAAAGAGGAAATTTGGTCCTTGCTAGCAGGACTTATCATCTGCATTTATAAGAGACAGAATCGAAGTCTCATTTCCAACAAAAAGAAAAAAAAAATCAAAGTCTTATTGGGCATAATCTGCTTTTCTAATTCTCTTCCTTTTGATGAAGCTTGGCGTTTGTAATTTTCTAATTGAAAATAGAACTTTGTCTTCCTTTTTGCCACATTATTAATTTCATAGAGTATTTTGCCTTTGACAAGTAATTTCTGCTTTGTTGTTTGCATTTCTTATTGTTAATCTCTCTTATTCAAGAGAAATCATGTATAAAACTTAGAAATTTTGGTTGATAATGTTGGTTATGGCTGTAGGAAGCTGTTGGTGGTTTCTGTCTGAAGCTCTATATAATTTTAGAGCTCAATCTGTTTATCACGAACATAGTTTTTTTAGCATGTCCAATTTTACACTTCCTTAATGAAAATTACCATCTCATTTTGTCATAATCTTATGAATGTCTTCTTTTTTCTTACCACTTGTTTAGTGCAATATGACATTTTCTGTAGCTCGATCTCTTTGTTGCAAATTACTACCTCCTTTATCTTAGTCAATCTTGACCTGATACTGCCACTACTGGTCTCTCTTTTATGATTACAGCTTCTTATTCTGCAGTATTTGTTACCTTATTTGCATCTGAATTAAAATAATATGTTCAAGATGCTTGCAAAGATTACCAATGATCCTTTATTTTTTTGAGCACGCTTGTATTAGCTATTTTGAACTTCATTTGCTATCCAATTTCTTCCATTTCTACTTCTCATCGGTAATCGATCTTTACAACTTCTGTTGCTTGCTTCTCCATGCATATGCACCATGTTTTACCTATTGTTTTTCGAGTTCTTTTGGCTGATTTTGAGATCTTTCAAGAAGCTCATTCCAAGGTTTGTTATTTATTTTTTACTCTTTTTCATGAGATCACATCATTTTGTTTTTTCCTCCTATGTATGTACAACATCAGACATGTAATATGTCTTCATCAATGCTTGAACTTTAAGCTCTGATCCTGTGAGGTCACATCCTTTTTCTTTCTGTTTTCATGTATTTGTACTAAATAGCTTGAACATATTAATGTGGCTTCCTTAATGCTTAAAATTAGAATCTGTCTTGTCAAGTATAATACTCATGTATATGAATACTCATATATAATGCCTCTGTGTGTCTTTGGGTTTATGTATACATCTGTTTCACCAATTTATGGTCTACTTCATGGTTGATGAGCATTTGAACTTTTCAGCTACCTCCTGTCCCATGTAAATGCAGGTTGGTGTTCTTTTTCACTTCTGATTCTATACTCTGGATCATCTGATATGCAGAGGCTATGGAACATAGACAGTTAACAAGTGGAGTGCAATTGTTCAAGAGAGACCAGAATCAGAATCATAATAGTATAACAGTTGAGCGACCCTATACGCATAGAGGTATTCTGGATGATTTTACATTGCCATCCACTCATCAGATGCTCTTTTCCTAGTATTTTATTTTATTGAGTGATGCACATTGGTTATACAGATTGGAAAGTCTAGAAACAACTGGAAATTTGCTGTGTAGGGTGTTAGCTTGTCTCAAATTATTGGGATAATGTGAACGATTTTACATTGATATCCACTCATCAGATACTCTTTTCCTAGTATTTTATTTTATTGAGTGATGCACATTAATTATACAGATCGTAAAATCTAGAAATGACTGGAAATTTGCTGTAGGGTGTTAGCTTCTGTCATATTATTGGGATAATGTGAAATTTGATGTGAGATTTAGTTCAATGCGATCCTTGGTTGAAGCTTCAACATTTCTTCTTTTAGGCTATGTTGAGGATGGAATTTATTTCAGTTTCATTTGGAAATGAATTTTATGCTAAAATTTGTTTTGCAAATAAATTCTCATATTTGAGACACTATTTATTAAATTGTAGATTTTAAATAAACTCAATAGGCTAGTTCACTTTTTCTCTTGTTAATCTTCTTGGCAATGTAAAATTGATTTCTACCAGCCAAAACTGTTAATTGGTTCTCAAAAAGCAACCAAGGTTTCACCAACAATGCTACCTTCGATGGACAACATAGTGTGTGTTACTTGGGCATAATAGTTCCTGTTTCTTCTGAATATTGTGTGCAGGAAGGGCTATTGCTCCTGAAAATGGTTCATTTGTTTATCCCATGGAAAATGTTCCAAGAAGTACACCATACTCTGCCATTCCACAGTACATAGCAAGTAGGCCACTTGAGCATTATTCATCAAATCTCCGACTGGGAGATTCACAAGTTCATGCTCCTCATTCCTGCCCATCTTATGACTCCTTCCTGCACTGCCCTGGAGTTGGAAGCTTATATTCAACCCCAGTGAATGATACCAGCCATAGCCATTCAATTCACCATGACAGTTTTGCTGTTTGTGAAGTTGGGGATGGTTTACTTGATTGTGGAATGAATATTGGAAGAGGACTATTCAAAAGAAAAAGCCGAATTTCTTTAAGCTGTGAGAGAGGTGGCACAAGCAGATACTATAGTGCAGGAAGTTCATCTAACTCATTTGAATTTCATCCAGATAAACAGGCTACAGACTATCCAAATTACCCTTCTGGTACCATTGGGTTATCACATTATAGGGGAGGCAACCTCTCAAATGGCAATGAAAATCCTCCCAGGAATGTGAGAAGCCGACCTAGAAATGATTTGGAGCACAACCCACGACAAATACATCCATCAAGCTATTCTTCTCTCCATTATTCGCCAACCACTCATCAGTCAAGTGATTCTGGTAGAGTGAATCTTACTTCCTTCTGTGCTGGTGCAACCAATTACAATCAAAATAATATTGGCATTTCTCATCCAACACAGGGAGGGTTTGCAGTATCAGGTTAGTTGAAGATACATTGCTTCTTTTTCTTATTCATTGAACTATTTCTAATAAAATTGTTTGGTATAATTGTAGGAAGTACTGGCTTAAGACACGAGACCAATCAAAACTTTGTTGGAGAAAGTACTGCAGGAATTGGTGGACACAGCCATGACTCCGTTTCAGGCAGAGGTCCTGTTTTACCAGCCCAATATTTTCCTAGTCTGCATGACCAGGCTGCTATGGGGGTCCATGGTAATTATTCGCACACTGCAGTTCCTTCATATGGTGTGGATCTAAGGTCTTCTCAGCAGCCTCAAGGTGTGGGTCTAAGGTCTTCTCGGTGGCCTCAAGAAACAGCTTCCACAGAAAATAGTCTTCTGTCTCTCTCCGAAACTTATCCTTCCAGATATTCTAGGACATTTTCTGCCAGAAGTTGGCGTAACCGTAGAGACACAAGGTCAAGGATAGCAGCTGAGAGATTCCAATCTTTCCAAAATGTGGAGAATGCACGTGATAGAATGGGATCTGAGGTGTGTAATTGTCATTTTTGGTTTATCCTGGTCCTGATAAGCTCATAGAATATCCCTGTTTATACTGCTGCTGGTGCTTCAAGCTTTTCATATTTTGCACTTGGGGTATCTTACTTTTCTGCCTCTACATTTCTTGCATTTCATTCTGGTGCATTTCCTCTCTTGGCCTCATTACTTTTGTAAATTATTACCATTAATGATGTGGACGTGTGAGCCTTTGGTCTCTGTTATGGAGTTAGCCATGCTGATAAAGCACATAATATTATGCATGCCAAAGTATTAAGATATGCTGATAAGCATATATTGTAGGGATTCACTTCGTGTATATAGAAAACAGGTGAAAAGACAGATTACTTTAAGGATATGATTCCTCCACGACATCATTTAATCTCTTGAGCTAGATCTGATTTCTTGACCTGTTAATCCTGCCCTATTCTGTGCTTTGATTGTTATTACGATATAAATAGAATTTATAGCTGTTATCATCTTGCTTCTCGTTGATCATGGAGTTCTGTTGCATTTTTTGCAGGCTCTAGAGGATCGCTCCTTTTTCTATGGCTCCAGAAATTCCTTTGATCAATACAGGGATATGAGACTAGATGTTGACAACATGAGTTATGAGGTTGCTGTTTATTTCTATTTACCCCCTTCTTCTCATATATCCTTACAAACTTGTATAAACTTCCAGTTATTTTCTGTTTATAGGAACTGCTTGCCCTGGGAGAAAGAATAGGAAATGTCAACACAGGATTGTCTGAAGATGTAATGTCAAACTGCTTGAAAGAGACTATATACTCTTCAGATAAGAACCAGCAGGAAGCAACCTGTGCCATCTGCCTCGTAAGAAACAGTTTACACTGCCTGATTTTTATTTTTATCCAAGCATTCTTTTGGCTGATGGAATATTTGTATCCGAGCGTTAAGCAAGCCCTATGTATGTTTATTATCCTAATACCATAAATCAAGTGAACTCAATGTACACAAGCGTATAGATCACCTAGACTTGGCTTTGCGAAGCAAACAGGCCTTATGTTATGGTTTAGGCTTGAGCTTCATCCAACTAAGAAACAAGCTCAGAAAACAAGACTTTTATGAAGTCAAAATGAAACCGTCTTTTAATGGTTGGTTATTTCGGAACATCTGATTGGAATGGTTTTTCCCGGTCTTCAAAATGTTATAGCCCCAGAAGCTGAAAGATTTCTCTATGGGAATTTAAATGCTGCCCATATCTGAGAGGTTCTCAAGATTTTCATAATGAAGAGAAAAGGTGAAAATATATGACGTTGGATATCACATGTCTAGTTAGTAATTTCTTAGGATTTGAGGTTTGAAAGTCCTGCTTTTCCCTTTTGATATATTCCATCTCATTTGAAACTTTCTCCGACTGGGGGATTTTAGCTTGTGCCTTTTTTCTTGCTAAACATGCAGGAGCAGTACAAGAACGATGACGGAATTGGGATCATGTGCTGCGGACATGATTACCACCTTCTTTGCATCAAAAGATGGTTGGCAGTGAAAAATGCCTGCCCCATTTGCAAAGCACCTGCTCTTGCTGATGGTTCAAAGGAAGAATGATTCAAGTTTCATTTGGTACATTTATGGTTTTTTTTTCCCTTTTAAGCCTTATTTTTTGTACATATTCATGGAGATTTATGACTTATTTCTGAACAAACTTGGCTTCGAATGCCATTTCTTTTCAGTCTTTCCTCTTTTTCCTGTAATATAATGTGCTCATACATGCACAGAAAAAGCCCCATGTCTACAAACAAAAGTGAAATATTCAGTGATTACCAGCCAAATTTCTATGTATTTGGAAGAAGACTTTCATACTCATGTAATTTGAGAAATATGTATCCCATGCATCTATCATAATTAGAGGGAGGTGCCCAAAGAAGGAAAAGAACAAAAAAAAAAAAAAAGAGGAGTAAAATCCCTCAACGCCTAGTACTTCATTTGGTTAAACTCCACAATGATTTATTGAGGTAGACTGGTACAACATGTTACCAAGAAGAATATGAACCCTCTTTGTAAGTTTGACTCAAGAAATTTACCTCCTCCATGGACTTTATTTTGCTTGCAATTACAAGAGTGATGTCACAAACAAATTTATGGAAAGACAGAGCCATGCAAATTCCGTGTGTTTCTTGTGTAACATGATATAAATTCCAAGTTGGGTTACTGATTGAATGTACATTGATTGATGCCACAGCTATTAAATTCTGAATCATATTGCTCTTCCTTATAGAGGCTTTGTCGAGAAATTCTGTCAGAAAAAACAAACAGGCTGATATGGAATCAAAGATGGACTCTCTGCATATCAGCTCTCTGATGCTTTTCCACCAAAGTACTGTTCTTGGACCATTTTCCTGTAGTCTGAAGAAAGAACAGGAAATATCATGGTGAATCTGATACAGTTGAGTTCTATTCCATATCAAAAGTTGTTGGTTGCAGTGAAGTTTAAAATGGAAACACCATAATTTGCAAACTCTGGCACTGCAAAACCGTGGCAAAAGATTCCGACAAAAATCAAGAAGGCAATGCTCTTTTGGTTACCTAGAGTATCCCGACAAATGTTTAGATGGAGATATGCTAGAAAGACTTAATTCAGTCATCGATGAAACATGCAGAGCAGTAAAAAAGGGTCCTATATATTTCAGAGCTTCGTAATGCTTAAGCACATACTCATAAACCTTAAGAAAAAGGTGCAGTGATCCGGATGCATTTAAACCGGAGAGAACATCAAAACGGAAGTTTTAGTCCGAAATGCTAATTTTTGTTCATACCTTCCTTATTGTTCAATAATGCTGCAGCGTAGGTGTTGAGAGGACTCTCAGGGTTTGGCTCTGCATGGATGAAAATTCTGAAGCAATCAGAATGACAAAGAAATTATCTGTTTCATAGATCAAACATGTTGGAAGAGCAAGCAGACCTCCTAGTAGACTTTGAACAGACAAAAGAATGGTCCTACAATCATAAGCAGAAGACCACTTATCCTGCAATAATATGAAGGAAGAATTTATGAGTATCGTGAAAATTTTGGTAAACAGAGACCAGAACTGCAATTCCACTATACAAGTATATAAGCATGCAACTATAAGAGGTACCAACCTAAGAGAGGGAATATAGAAATTTCTAGCAATTCCAGCAATTGTAAACAAGAAGAATTTTCAAATCAGTCTTAAGAGCAACCCTCTTCTCAACTATCCAGAGATTGGAACCAGGAAGAGCTACAAAACAAACTCTAACATCAACTATCCTAGGACCTTCAAGGTTAGATCTAAGCAACTTAAAACATCCAACCAATTCACTAGGCACATCCACACTTTCAAGAAAATGGATCAAAGATTCCATTTTTCTTTTTATCTCATCATTAAGATCTTCAGCAGCACAGGAGTTTTCTTGGAAGCTATATACCAAGTAAATTGATACCTGAAGGATGTCAAGGCAAATATTGCCAAACTGGTCGACATTGGGATGGAAACACATTGTCTCAAACTTTACTTGAGGTGGTTTGAAAGGATAGTCCAATGGGAAACGCATAGAAATTTTGTACGATAAACCCTCATACATGGTGCCCTTTCCACCCTCAATTGTGCCAATCCATGCAAAAATGCTTTCACCTTCAGGAAAAGCTGATACTCCAAGATCTCCTTCGGTCATCTGCAGCAGAAGACAATATCAGATATTCCATAAAGCAGTGCTCTAAAAGGTTTTTCCCACAAGCAGGGATCTGCATGCTACTACCTTGAAGTTAGATTGGTTTCTACCTTTAGTAGTTTGACTCCATATCTTTTCTTTTCTCTTATTAAAGTAAATGCTTTTGCAGGCTAGTGAATATAAATGTGCTCAACAAATGTGGATATGTGTGCACGTCTGCATGCATTCAAGTCCATCAACCTTCTGTAACCTAAAATGTCAAAACCATATCTGATGTCACATTAAAATCTCGGTTAAAATACTAATAAGCTCCTGAACTTTCTTACTTTACCTAAATAAACCCCCCCTTCTTATTGTACCCAAATAAGCCCTTATATTACGATTTGTCCTAGATAAACCCTAATGTTGATGAAAATATGTTTACATTTATCAAGTGACCTCAACAGCTATTAGGCCCATGGCTACCTGGCATCTTCTGCACACATGGATGCTGACTTGACTTTCCTTACATGACAAAATTGGCTAAATGGGAAAAACTTCCCTCCTAAGACAAGTCATTCTAGGCAGCCAATTTCACCATATTAGAAAAGCCATGTAATCTATCACAAGAGTGTGAAGGATGTCAACTGGCCATGAGCTTAACAACCGTCAAGGTCACATATATAGCGTGACATCTTTTCGTAAACATAAGAGCTTATTTAGGTAAAAATCATAAAATAGGGCCTTATTTGGGTACAATAAAAGGACAAGCGCTTTTCTGAACATTTGAGATAGTTCAGGGGCTAATTTAGTGTTTTATTCTAAAAACCCATTTCAAGTTAGATTTATTTTCAGGAGATCTATGCCGCATACACTTGATGAAGCATACATGAAACTCTCAGTGTTTAAATGACATATTATACCACCAGCTCCACTTTAGACTTAAATTTAAGATGAGAAATTATACTGTGGCCAAGGCATAGCCTAATTGGTAACCAAACATCTCCTCCATAGACGAAGTCTCATCCCTTCCCCTAATTGCAAATGAGGGAAAAGAAAAAAAAAGAAGATCCAATACTATGAAAACATAACAACAATCAGCTGCCATTCCTTAAAACTAGGTGCCTAGTTCCTTCTATAAACCATTTAAACATACCTCAGGCCCTTCAAATAGGATATTATCATTAAAATCAATTAATCAAGGTTTGATAACAATGCTGACACATAAAGAATCACTATTGATAAAAATCTAGCATGCCTTGTTTTCACAATGATACTTCATCTAAGAAAACAAAGACAAAACCAAATAAAACATCAAATAAAGAAATAAGGTTTCCAAAATTAGAACAGTAGAAATGATTCACATACCATGAGAGCCATCAACTCCTTTTGTAGCCTGCAAAAAGAATTATTCCAACAAATCCCATATCAAAATAATCCTTGAATTCAATTCAAATTTCAATTTTAAAAAATTATTCATAAAAGTATGTAGCATAAAATTCTTATTCATTTCCTTATCATTTCCATAATTTTATGAGCAACCAAACAAATTCCAAAATAATGAAATATATAAGAATTTTCAAAATTTTATTGTTTCAAAGCCTGATATTACACTTAAACAAAACACACACATACACCTCTTTCAACTAAACTATATTAAGTTAAAGTAAACCAAAGGACCAAACATAGGCAACTCTCTTACTAAGTTAAATATCAAACTTGACCCAAACAGAAAAGGAAAAAAGAAAAAGAAAACAAAAACTAATTTTCCCGGGAAACGACGACAGAAAATTCAAGGAAAAACTTCTTTCCGAGAACCAAACAGGAAAAGATTTTCTTTCATTTCCAAGATTTTCAACAGAATAAAAAAGAAACGCCAAGAAACTTCAAAGGGAAAAAAAAAATCTCTTTCCTTTCTTTTCTGTCTTTCTTTTCTTTTATCTCAAATTTTCGCGGGAACCAACAGAAAAGGCAATTCTCTTCTTTTACCTCTGAGTAACGGAAGTGGTGTCGACGGCGTTGGGAACGGTAACGGGTTGCTTAGATGAAGCGGCCGCTGCATGGCGCAGATGCAGCTGCGGCGAGGTCGACGAATTGTCCACCGTTTGATTGGGCCGGTCTTCCATCACGTCGATCAAAAAGAAAGATTGAAAAAGAGAATCGACGATATCAACGGTCAGAGTTGAACGCTGGAATTTCAAATGATAATTAATCAATCAATTTTTATTATTTTTAAATGAATCGATTAATCGATGAATCGAGAGCCGTTTTAAAGATTTCTTTAAATATATTTTTCATTTTTTTTTTTTGCTATTATTTTCTGAATGAGTATAATGCAGCCACGACGGTTGTTTATTTAATATTAACAATATTAACATACAAATAGTCTTTTAATATAAGATTTTTTACTGTTATTTTAATTATTTAATTTTTTCATTATTATTACAATAATATTTTTTATGAAAGAGAAAGGGTGATGGAGATGCTTGAAATTAAATAATAATAATAATAATAATAATAATATAATAAGCAAAAGATATTATTTACATCAAATTAAAAAAACAAAAAGGTAATGTGTAAAATATAATACAAAATTGAATAAAATAAAAGAAAAAGCACATTTTTGAATAATTTGGTCTAATAAAAATTAAACCTTTGAAAAAGGTCAATTTTATCATTTATTTTCCTAATGGTGATTATCTACTTATTGCTTAATTTGAAAACGCCCATTTATAATTTTCTTAATAGATATTAAAAAAAATTTTATTTTGGGATCTTTTTTGAAATATTTTTGGATTAAATTCAATGTACTTTTAAATTATCATGCCAAAAACACATCAAATAAGTTCTTTAAAATAAAGTTATTTTTTCCTATCAAAAAATAAATAAAAAAGATCAAAATTTGTTTTAATATATACTAATATTTCTTGTAATTAAATCCAATTTATTTCCACCTCAAAATAAAACATATTGGCAAACAAGAATCCTACATTACAAGTGGGTACAGCATAAATTAAAAGCAATTTTCCACAAATAATAGTATGATTGATTTTTTTATTTTTTTTTTTATGATACATAGTTTGATCTTTGAAAAAGATAAAGAAAGAAAGGGAATCTCATATAAAAACCACACATGTTTACAAAAGGATAAGCATCCAATCAATCAATCAATCATTATTATTATTATTTTTTTGTTAACCAAAGAATAATGGCATGGAGGCCAGCATTGACTATTCAATGATTAATGGCAACTCAACCAAATTTTTAAATTTTTTTCTTTTACTCTTTGCTTCCATCCTAATCTTTCTTTATAAGTACATATATATTCATACTTGCAATAAAAGTCATGGGCACCTTTTTTTTAATATATTTTAATTAATTAAAATATTTAAAAATAATAAAAATTTAAATTTTAAAACTTTTTGTTAATAAACAATTATCATAGGTAGGGGTATGTTATTTATTAATCATGTTAAATTGTTTTTATTTAATTAACTTTTTATCCTTTCTTTGTATAATAAGAGTTTTACGTAATTACTGATGTTAATGAATTAATTGTTATTATTTTAATTATGATATTATTTAAAAAATTATTGAATCGGGTCTTAAAATTAAATAGACATGGAATGGATACAATAGAAGAATAATTGAATAATTTAAGAAATTTTTGAAGTATTATGGGTTTATAAAGTTACTTGCTAATTTTGAAGTAAAAATCAAAGGAAAATAAAAAAATGTAAAGCTGGATAAAAGTGTTATTCAAAACTGTAAAGTACAGAAAGTAGAAGATGCTGTAAAGAATAAAAAAAACTTAGTATGTATCAACAAAGAAAAAGTAGTCCAATCTCCCTCTCTCTCTCTCTCTCTGTGCCTTTGGTTTCCATGTGTCCAATCTCCATTGCCCTTTGGTCTCCATGCAGGCTGGCGTCAGTGTCTGGCATGTGCCAAGAAATGTACACGACAAATGTTAGCAGCATTGTCCCTTTTAGTCCGACCTGAATCTGGAATGAGTTCGATCATTTTTTGGCAAATGAGAAATCTGATGAACCGATGTCAATTTCATGTTGTGTCCGAAGTGTCTGGGGTGGGTGAGGCATATGTGAAGGGGAGCCAGAGTACTCTTGAACTGTCCTGTCTACTTCCCTCATTTCTAGCTGTCTATCATGCACAGAATCATTGATTGCATGGCGGCGAGGAGAGTCGGGATCCCACTGGTCGTTCTCGAAGTTGGAATTCCTTGGAGATGTGTGGTAGCTTTCGACACTTCGGGGATAGTTATGCAGAAGATGAACAGGAGACATCCCATGTGTTGGGGTTGCTGGCCTGCTTGAAAATGGTGTTGTGTTCTCAGAATGCCTGCTGTGTTTAGTGTGTTTCTTTGCTGTGTGGTGCCAGTTTTTGAGTGCAGTTGCTACTCTCTCGTTAAAGATTGTTGGTCTCATGTTAGTTCCCATCTGTAAACAAACAAACCAGACAAATTACATATATTTTCTTTGATTTATTTGCTTAATTTTCAGCTTGGTATCCATCTAGTTAATGGCATATAGATCAGAATAAGAGATTGGTATCTTACCTGAGTCACCAAAGCATAGAGTGGGAGAGTCACATAACTGCAAAGAAAGTGTATAACGACCCTGGAAAAGTTGCAAATTTTGCATTTTATCAGAAACCTTTTCACTTTGTCAAATCTTTAATCCTTAGTTATAATGTTAGTCAGATAGGTTCTGCCAATACTTGAATGTTTATGAACTCACCCCATTGATACTCTAATGATGATATCTTCCAGGTGCTCATGGTAGCAAGAATTTATGGAAAATTCATACTGAAAAAGATGGAAAAGTACTTATTAGATAAGCTGATCAAACAGTCACAGGAAGGATTGAACTCGTAGAATTTGCTTACCGTGCTCCACACAAAGAAGGCTAGTTGAAATGCATTCTGCAGAGGAAATGGGGAATCAACATACATGAGCATTAGGACAATGATGATGATGCTTAGATGTTGGTAGACTAAAGGAATCCATGAGTAGAAAGATATGAAGGAAAATTACCGTAAAGAGGACTAAGTGGATGAGGAAAAGAAGGAAGCGTGGGCGTCCAAACCAGAAGAGGTCATCGCCTGGTTGAACCACAGGTGCACCCTTGACTACATCACCTCTATCTTGAATCCTCAGTCCCATTTTAGTTATGATCACTTGTAGCTTGGTTCCAACCATTAGAATTATCTGCAAAGTCCCAATTCAGGGTATGAGATCCTATTTCTAGCTACATACTTTGTAAAAGATGTACTATATCAAATATGGAATTGTACTTACAACTAAGGGGAGAAAGGGTAGCCACAAATAAGAGTACCATCCTGTCCATAAAGAGCAACATATTCATTAGTCGGTAAACACTAAAAGATCCATAACTATGTTCATATATTAGTATTGACAGATTCCCATTGCAGCAAAGTATCAGCAGATAGGGAGTTAAGGTCCAACAATTGTGGAAGTTATGTAACTCTTGTCTCCCATCCAAGTTAACATGGAAAAGGAAAATTCTTGTTAGAACTGGTTTTGTCTTGTCGGAACTTTAAATTTAATCGTTAAGTCCTTACCATGTGTATAGGCAAGCAGGAGCAAGACAGCAATGAACCATATGATTGGACTGCAAACCAATGCAACACTGAGTTAGTAAGCTAATGTAACTAATAAACTGAAGAAATGTTGATTTACGTGCTTGAGAGCACTAACCTGATCCCAACTACCACTTTGAAATCTTCTTCTAATGATCTCTTGATGTATTTCTGAAAATCAAATTTTGTTTCATTTCCAGGTGCCAGATGTGCCTGAAAGCATACAGTACATTGAACTTCCACTTAGCAACAGGAACTGAGAAATCTGTCTGTGAGTAGATGGCACAGAAATTAGCATTTATAAACTTCCATGCCTCAAGCTTACCATGATAAACCCATGCCTCAGTGTCAGGTAATCAACCTTTGTAACTGACCCAAAGAATTGTCTAAAGACGCACACCTGATAGGAAAAGTAAAAGAGCAGAGAACCATCAAAATTTGCTTAAAGTGACTAATGATCACAAAAGAAGAGTGACAGTTAAAAGTTTCACTTAGGAGAGTCATATCCAAACATAATATCTCAAGAGTACCATAGATAACACTATATACTTATTCCTGATAAGATATTTTGCTTTCTCAATGGTAGTTTTGATTTGGATATCATGTCTTTGAGCATGCAGATCATGCATTAACCATTAAACCAGACACTCATGTGCCTCTTTGGTAGTTTTGATGTTAATAATTTTCATCCGGGTACTTACAATCCAAAGGGATAAGGTTGAGCGGCTCCAAAAGTTCATATGTCTGCGCCCAAATGAGGTGTCCCTCGCAAACCTGAACCTCTCTGGGTCTGAATTAGAAAAGTCAACTCAGTTATATAACATTTATAAAATTAAATAAATAAACAAATAGCTATGATTAATAGGGCCACCTAGACTTGGCTCAAGTCATTAGATAAATGGGGCTCTAGCTAGAGGTCTAGTTTGGAGACGTGCTTCTCCACTCTTGTATCAGAAAAAAAAATGAATAAAAAAAAAGGAAAACTTAGCTTATTTTGACTATTAAATAGTGTGACGGAAACTTCCCTAACAGATAACTAAAATACTGCGGCTAATTGACATGGACCAAGTCAACTTTTATGTATATCTCCATAAAGAAATGATTTTATTGACTCAAACAGTTACAGATGATCAGAGATTTATTTGACTTTTAACCAACAAAAGTTTTGTCTTATGCAATCTTTCTTGTAATGACAGATTAACTAAATCATTATTGAGTATGGGAACCTGCAGAGGGAGAGGTAGCTCTTCCAGGAAATATGCCAGTAACATAAATCTAATTATTAGACAGACCCCTCTTTTTGATTTCAAGTTGGTTAACATACCATTGTAGTATTGATATTCAACTGTCCTTGTCTCTTTCTCCCAGGCCTTCCATCGCTTCATCTGCAGTCCAAGCAATCAGTTAAGAAGGGAAAAACAGGCAGAAGAAAGACTGGAAAATGGCAAAGAGATTACATTTCATTTTGTAAATACCTTGGTTCTTCCCAAAGCATAGGTTGTTATGCAGTAGAGGATGTGGAAAACTGCTAACATAAAGATGAATATATGGAGCTGGTGAACACCATAGCTCGATACAAATGCAACTTTTCCCTGCAATAAAAGTTTAGTTTCTCAGTCAATTAGATTCCAGTCTCCTTACTTAATTCAACTAAATGAGGAAACTTTTTCCCTCTATGAACAATTTACATCCATCTGCTTCCCTTCTATTGCCAAAGTAAACTGTCAACTATGCATAGAATAGAAGTGATGACAGGAAAGAAGGGGCAATCTTGCCTCTGGACACTTGTCTTCTTTTGCTGCAAGACTGCGCCGAGCAACAGTACTGACATCTGAAAATTCAAGAAGTTTTCTGCCAGTGCTTTCAGAATCCTTTTTAGTCCCAGCCTTACAGGGATGCCAAGTGTTTGCTATGCTTTCTGGTATACAAAATCCGGATATGGTACTTTGCCCTACTGTCAGGAGCAAGGATATAAATCCCATGAGCATAAGCTCTTCAAAAAAGAAAACGAAATTTAGTTAGTCTCTGATGACAGCTTCGTTCAATTCAAAACTAACAAGACTATACCAGTATCAGTTCATTACCTGCTTTAACCTTCTCAAGTGCTTCATAAAGAGCTGGCTTGTGCTTCTTCTTTAACCACTGTCGAAAAGGGTGCACGAATGTCATGTACAATCAACAAAAACTATGAAAATCATCATTCAAAATGAACCATTAAATACTATTCCAAGAGAAAGGATAAGCTCGAATTTAGTTTTCTTCATATCTCCATATTATTGCAATAACTCTTAATTATCTCTCTTAAAGTAAACTCAATTCAACAAAGGGTGCTCTTTTCTTCTTTTTTAACTAGAAGACCTCTTCTTTCAGAACAGGTGTGAGAATTAACTAGGCTATGCCTTTGATTCAAGGTCTGAAACACCAAGTTTTGCACAGAAAACTATGGTGGCAAGTGCGACTTTGATTGCAGGAACTCAACCTTCCTTGGACTAAACTGGATTCAAACAAAGCCTTGAACTACAAGAAACGGTAAATCATTTTTTTCTTTCATATTCTGAGCAGACAGAAGCCCAAATATAGAATAGAGCTAAACACTTCAAAACACTAACCTTCCCTAGCATGTGAATGGCATGTTCAATGATGATCGAAATAACAACTAACACAAAACACACCACGGCAACTGCCCATGTCGGTGTCTCCTCCAAGGAACGTGCTTTATTAGAAGTTTCAGCCATTGATGTATAGCTGCAAGCTTCTGCAACTATACAACCTTACTTAAAATTCTATTCAACAACAACAAAAAGGACAAACGTTCACAGAACTTTGCTCCAAACCCAAGTATTATAACTAACAAAGGAGAGCCCGAAAGAAAAGACGATGATGAGATGAGGAAAAAGGTATAGGACTAAGTTGATGAGAAGTTTTATTTTATATTGTTTGAAACTTGATGAGAAGTTTTATTAATGAAATGCTTATTTATACTTGATTTTCTTTGAACGGAAGAGCGTGTATCTTCTTGTCCTCAAGAGGAAGTCATAGAACCATTACAAATAAATGATGACTTTGACCATTTCAAAGAGTGAGTGCCTGTGGACTGCAGAACCGCCCCCACGGGGTTTTGCAATGGCCCTGCCGGATTGACCAGAAACTAATAACAGGAAAAATAGAAGAATTAAGGTTATAATTTACATCTTTTTCTTCAAATTTTTTAGGATAAATTATTGATTCGACATAATAAAATTAGAATGGGATTTTTATTTTGTATCTGAATATTTAGTTTAATATTGAATTCATTTCGTTCCTATCATCTTTTCTGAATATAAACATGGCTTATTTTCAAACAAGAAATTATAAAAAACAATTACTTCATATCAAATAATATATAAATTTCGTCAAAATTAATTTAAAAAAAAAACCATCTCCGAGATTGAAGGAGTAAATACTAAAAGGGCTATAAACACAAGTATCAGTAATTATTCCAAAGGGTCTTGGAGTCAAGACTTTACCCTAGTCCTACATGTCCACCGCTATAAAACAAAACCTTGCCTATTGTTTTTCCTTGTGGGTTTTTTCTTTGCCTACGATGCCTATCCCACTACGTCTTCTTTCTGGCTTGACCGGCACTACCTAAATGTTTTTGCCCATAATACTTGTTTATCTATATTAAAATTTAATCACTTTTTGTACCCAAAAAAATTCTACAAATACCAATAATTTTGAGGGATATCATGTAATTAATTAGTGAATTCTTATCAATGTGAGACATCACATTAATATATTTTAGATGTATCAAAAATGATTATAAAATAATATTCGATCAAGAATTATCAAAATGAACATATTTCACAATATATATATATATATATGTATGTATATTAAGTCAATGGAATTAGAATTTCATAATCTTTGTTTAAAGAAAACCCCAAGAAAGTTATGTCAATCAATTGTTCATTATTGGTACTTATCAAATGGATTAGATTATTATTATACCAAATAAAAACATGGATTTTAATAGTATTGGGGAATCTATTTCTTTATTGATTAAAATCAGCATTATTGGTTTATAAAATTAAACAACCTTACTCCAATCGTTAAGGTCAAACAAGAACCTGAAATGACTTAGAAAGCCTAAAGATATAAGGATAAAGAAATAAATAAAAATAATTCAATATATCTGTATCCTTAATTAATTTATACCACAATGTATACACCAACATAAGTAGATATAAAATTATTAATTATCTCCTCCTCAAGTACCCTTTTTTTTGGGTACATATCATTAATAACACTTTGTTTTATGGTGATTACAACAGAAAATATTTGGACCTTAAAAGAAATTTACTAAATATTTGATACATTATGCCCTTTCATTTATTTCTAAGGCTCATTCAATGCCTTTTTTTTAACTTAATTCATTCAAATCAAAAGTTGGGTTAAACAATATCGCAATCTCTCTTATTTAATGAAAATAATTGAATTTTTTAAAAACTATTGTGGTAACATTAAAAAAAAAAACCCTAAGGGATGTAATTAAGTCTTCAAGGAATTTGTGTTGCCTCCCCTGCTTGGAGTTTGGCCTGATTATGGCCTATATCCTAAAATTTATACGTGGACACGTTAAAGAATCTGAAGGTATCGCCTTCCCTGTCATGTTTCTGCCTGGTTGTCACCTCCCTATTCTTGACCATATAATTCCCTTAATTGTTTAGGAAGAATAAACACAATTGAATTTCCCCACTTAATTCTATGTAAATATTAATACATATATTCTCTAGGGGAGAATACTTTGATCAAGTCTTTCAAGCAAGCCGACAAGAGGATACATGTTCATGAATCATCACTAAAATTATATATAAATAACCCAAATCCAGAAACCTCTTGTTTCTTTCATAGAAGAGTCTTATCCCTAAGTAAAGGACTAATGACCACTCAATTTAGAAATCCAAACACTCCATCATTTGTTCAAACAAAAATTAATTTCGGAGAGCGATAGATGTTCTTTTGGTTCTTGTTACGCGGTCGATAGACTTGTTCATATACATAATAATTATGAAATGTTCTTGAAGCAGGTAAGGAATAGTAAACAAAGAAAAAAAAATTAATTTGAGGAATTGAAAATGACAATTGTTTATCACATTTTAAAATATATACAATTCTCACAATTCAAAAAGGTGTTATATTTAATGTCATTTGATGTTAACGTATTTCTTCGTAACTAATTATAAAGGACTTTCATTTTTACTCTTCAAAATTTTAAGAACCAAAAACTTCTCCTGTGGCTATTCTTAGTGCCCAAAAAATCAATGTGCAGTCCAATCTTGATCATTTCTATTGGAGTTTTGCTTAAAAATGATGGGATTAGTCCTTCTTGGGTATAGAAACTTGAACTTGTCTTAGAACTTTCAATATATCTAGACTCCTCGAGCAATAACTAATTTCAAACCTTTTTTATTTTTTTTCTTTTGACAATTCAGATTTTTCATCTATAAATTTCAATGCGTTATATAGGCTTGGCTTTTTCTTTGTGTTAATATGAACCCAATAATAGAGAGCATATATTGGTATAAGATTAAAATATAGTTTAATATGGTTGAAACCATATCAAATTGACGAAACATTCTGACTTTGGGGCTGTTTTAATTAATTTAAAAGTTAAAAATCAACTAAACTAAAAGATTGTAACCCACAATTTCTTCATTTGTGGGTCAACACCAAGGTAAGGCATTCTCGCTTGATAGTTATTCTCAAACCAACAAATCGATTCAGAACATCATTCTCAATTTTGATTTTGAATAAGATTGATTTTTATTTTATTTTTATCATTAAATTATTTAATTTTACAAGATTTTGAATCCGAATCTCGAATTTGTGATAAGCCTTTACCTTGAAAGGCGAAAACGACATTACCCTTTTCTACCAATTCAATCTAGAACCACAAAACTGACTTGATCTCCGCCGTACACTTGATCAAGTTGATTAGTGTTGAAGATAATACTATGGTCCATCTAATTACAAATAAAAGACAAAAGAATCTCAATCTGTGTCATTTTGAGAGAGCAAATATCTAGTGGGAGTCCTTTTGCAAGTGGGTTCGTTGCATTAATAAGGGAGATGTATCAACATAGATTTTTTTAAATTTAATTAAAATTTTATATTAGTCTATTAATTTTTTAAATAAATATTTTATTTCAAAAAAATAATATATAAGTCTAGCTATTAGTCAATCATTAATGTTTTCTAGTTTAATGATATGATAATATTGAAAAAATAATTTTATCATTTATTAATTTTAAAAATTACTATTATATAATTTTTTTTGTAAAAAAAATTCAAGGGTGCTCCTCTCCCTTGCGGAGCATTGATCGTTTAGGGAGCACCTGTAGTGGGGTGATCAGCTCGTGAATGGGAGTGTCGCCGACCAATCACATTATTTGAGAAAAAAAATGTATGAAAGAAGATAGGGTATTTTAAATTTTTTTATATTTTTTGCTAATAGTATTTATACTTTTAAAGCAGATTATTCATTTAAAAAATTAATAAACTCACATAAAATTAGGACTAAAAGTGAGAGGATGAAAGTATTTTAATTTAAGAGTTTTAAAAGGTGACCTCTTCACGGACACATCAAATGCAAACTTTGATTGCAACAATTACATATAATTTTATCTTTAAGGTGACTTTTGGTATTTTACAATATAATGTAATTACAAGTAATGCGATTGGAAGTAATATGATTACAGGAAAATAACATTACAGTGTTTGATATACAAGTAAAATAATGATTAAAATGTAAGGAAGATAACATTACGTTTGATTTAAATATAATGATTAAAATGCAAAGAAGATAACATTGCGTTTGATTTATAAGTTCTTTGTTGAGAATGTAACGATAATTTTTAAAATTATTCTTATTTATTAAAATGTAAGTTTAATATACTTATATTTTTTATTATTAATTTTTATATAATATCACTTCTTAAATATATTTTTAATGTCATATATTTTATTTCATTTCTTTCATATAATTTTTCATATTACATATTTTATTGTAATTTCTTTTACCTATATTATATAAATTTTAATTTTTGATATTTATTTTATTTTAATTTCTAATTCTTATATTATATATTTTATTTTAATATTTTTTATTTTAATTATAATATTATAAAATATTTTTAATAAAGTAATAAAGTTAAACGGTAAAAATATCTTCAATAACATTGTAAATTATAATATAATGTAATTGTATTGGTTTTAGACTGCAATCACGTTACATCCCTCAACTGTAATGTGATTGCAGTACAATCTTATATTATAATGATCTATTATAAAACAAACATTATAATATACTTTAATTAGACACGTTATAAGAAATGTGCTCTTATTTTCTTCATACCATATCTAAGAGTCATGTTCCGCGATTAATTTTCTCTCGATCACTTTTCTAGGTTTGTTGCCTCCGTCAGGTCTTCAAACTGGAGTTTGCTTGCTATTGATGGAGTCATGCATGGTGGTTGAAATGAACCCCACAATGTCAACTGTGAGTTGTTAACAAAATTTACGGAGCAAACCAAGCCGTTGGGTTGTGACCGCCACCCATTGGCTTAGCAAAAGGGCCAAATTAATGTGCCAATTCAATTTCTTTCAACTAGAAGAAAAAAAAAGGTCAATTAATCTCCAAAGATGGATAAATTAATTGATAGAACTGAAAAAATATGGATTCATGTATATTAATATGATTAATTTATTGTATTTTTTAATTATATATTTTTGTTGTAAATATTATATATATAATTTTATATAAAAGTATTAGAGGATGAGTTTAATTACTATTTTCCTTAATTTTACAAATATGAGAAAATAAGTTCTTAGAAAGGAAAAAAAAATGGAGAAGAGAAACAGTACAATATTTTTGTTTTCATTTTCCTTTCCTTTTCTTTCCTGCAAAACAAACAACATGATATTA